TCTTTTTTTTTTATACTCTGTGGTGGCAAACAAGCATACGGCCCATCTGAAAATAAATAAATAATAATACGGTAAATGGTTACCGTAGCCTATGGACGCCTGAAGCACCAGGGGTGACACGTGCGCGTTGCCGACCCTTAAAAAACCTTAATATACTCTTCTTGAAAAACCCCATGCTGTAATCTCGTGAGAAAACCTCGGCAGGAAGTTCATTCCACAATCTAAGTGTACGCGGGAGGAAGCTCCTCTGAAACCGCACTATCCGAGACCACTTAGGTTCCAGCGTGTGGGAATGAATTCCCTGTCGATGGCGAGCGGTGCGATGGTGAAAGGTGGCCGTAGGCATCATGTCGAACAATTCCTCGGAACACAGTCCGTTGTATAATCGGTAGAACACACAAAGCGAAGCGAAGTCTCGCCTCAAACTAAGTGGCTCGATACCGTCAGAGAGATTGGGATCATCGACAATTCTCATAGCACGTCTCTAAACCGAGTCAAAAGGACCGAGCTGGTATCCAGGTGCTCCTGCCCAAAGATGAGAGCAGTACTCCATGTGCGGCCGAACTTGAGACTTATATAAGAGGAGTCTCTGGTCCGCAGTGAAATACCGCTTCGCTCTATTGAGCACACCGAGTTTTTTGGACGCCAGCTTAACCTTTTCTTCGAGGTGACTACGGAACTCAACTGTGCTAGAGATGTCAATACCGAGAATCCCAATACTCTTAGAGATGGTAATGGACGTGTTCTGGAATTGCGGAGCCACAGCAAAAGGGGTTTTCTTAGCGGTGAACGCGCAGGCTTTTGTCTTGGTAGGGTTGAATTGAACTAAGTTCAGTCGCCCCCAATCGGAGCCTCTGGTAAGAGTACTATCGATTTCAGACACAAGCTGTTCGCGGTTTGCCTCCACAACGGAAAGAGGGATATTAGCACGGCCCGTGTAAAATGCGTCCCCAGTACTGTCATCCGCATAACAATGAATGTTAACTGTAGTTAACAAATCATTGATATGCAGCAAAAACAGTGTCGGGGAGAGAACGGAGCCTTGCGGGACGCCAGCGTTAATGTCCATGCTATCGGAGCAACTACCGTCGACTACGGTTTTGATGCATCTGCCAGACAAAAAACTAGCGACCCATTTGCATAATCCCTCTGGTATACCGTACGAGGGCAATTTCGATAGAAGACCTTGATGCCAAACCCGATCGAATGCCTTCGCCATGTCAAGGCTGACTGCCAATGCCTCACCTTTACTCTCGATGGCAAGAGCCCAACGGTGTGTGAGATACACTAAAAGATCACCAGTTGAGCGATTATGGCGAAAGCCATATTGACGATCGCTCAATAGATCGTGATCCTCTAGGTATCCCAGGAGCTGTGTATTAATTACACGCTCCATCACCTTGGAGAGTAGAGATGCGATAGCGATAAGCCTGTAGTTTGATGGGTTTGATCTGTCGCCCTTTTTTGGCACAGGGTGCACAAGGGTGGTCTTCCATGAAGACGGAAATTACCCAGAGGAGTACGAAAGCGCGAAAAGGCGCGTGAGTACGGGACACAACTCCGGAGCACACTTCTTTAACACCAATGCCGGTATGCCGTCTGGCCCATTCGACTTGTGGACGTCAAGAGACAGTAACTCTCGCCGGACACGCCGTTGCGTTACGGATATTTCCGGCATAGAGTTACCACACCATGGGATGGTAGTAGGTATGGTGTCCCCGGCGTCCAAAGTCGAATTTGAGGCAAAAAGAGCGCACAACAAATCGGCCTTCTCTTTTGCACTGATTGCCAAGTTATCATCCGGCTTCCGTAGTGGTGGTAAGGACGACTGACTAAAGTTACCTTCGGCAGCTTTGGCAAGCGACCAAAAGGCACGACTTCCAGAAGGATGTCGTGCTAGTCGTTCACCAGTTTTACTGACGAAGTCGAATTTGGCTCTAGCAATTACTCTCTTACTAAACCTGGATGCAGCATTTAAATTCCGCCTTGCATCAGATATGTCAACATCACTGTTGGAACGAGCCGTGGTCCAAGCCTGATAAGCAGTTTGTTTAGCCTGTCTGGCTACTCTGCATGACCTATTAAACCACGGTCGCTTTTTCGCCCCTGAAGAAACAAGCAGATTTGGAATAAAACATTCCATACCCGCAAGTATGACTTCAGTAACGGCGGCTGTACAGGTATCGACGTCTTCTGATGCAAAGCAGTACTGCTTCCATGGGTACGATGCGTAAAATTCTCGCAATCTGTCCCAATCTGCAGACTTATAATGCCACATACGACGTTGACAAGGAGGTCGGGATATGGCAGGTTTTGTGCACAGTACCTGGGATCGGATAAGGCAGTGATCTGAAGAACCAAGTGGTGCCTCCACGGTCACTGAATATCCGTCCGGTCGTGTAGTCAGCAGAAGGTCCAGTAAGGAGCTCGTATGGGTCTCGATATCAGGTATTCTCGTTGGAGAATGAACCAGTTGCGAGAATCCATAGGCCAGAGCAAACTCGTGAGCAGTTCTCCCCGCGTGGTCGGTGAGCCGAGAACGGAGCCACTCGATGTGATGGGCATTGAAGTCTCCAAGTATCACTAGACTTGCGGAGGGATACTGCTCAAGAACTTTATCAGACGTCAATTGAAGGTGCTCAAACAGACGAGTCGTATCCTCGTCACCGCTATGAGACCTGTACAGGCACGCATAGATGCCGGTGTAGTCACCCTGATCAATGCGAACCCATAGGATTGACAGGTCTTTTTCTTCTAGACCAAGAAGGCGGCGACAGCAGATATCTTCCCGGACATACAAACAAACCCCGGCATGACGCACAAATTTGTGCTCGAGTTTATATCCAGGGTACAGCAGGTACGAAGTGTCAGCCGGAGAGGATATCTGCGTCTCCGTAAGGAATAAAAGGGTCGGCTTGGCGGTCTCAAGGTGATGGTGGACCGCATTGATGTTTCCGTGAAGTCCCCTGATATTACAGAAATCCATATCTAATGTGGATTGGGGTGCTGAAGTACTAAATTTCCTTTTTTTGCTTCTGGTCATGGTAGTTAGGCAGTATTTTTTTTTTAAGGTTAAAGGGGAATGGTTGCGCCGGTATCAGAAAGGGCAAAAGGTGCATCAACGCACCCCAGCATTGCACAGGTTGGGCGACTTGGTGGCACGGCGGCCGGAAGGGCCCCCGGTCCCCTCACTGGTGTAGCAGCCGGGTCCACTCCGGTCTCCTCCTCCGGCACGACTACTACACCAGGGATTATGCACAGGCGGCGGTTCAGCCTCCCAGGGCGGAGATTATGTAATCCCTGGGTTCGGGAACCCAACAACCTGCGGGCGGCCAGCGGTTAGCCGTTTCACCGGGTCTCCCTGAACGCCACGCCACCACGTCGCGCCTATGCAATCCCGAGGCACTGTTGGACACACATGTCCACCAATACCAGCACAACCCATCCCCATGGGGCTCTGGTCACCTTACTCACCACAGGAACACAGTGCTGTTGTGTAGTGCAAGTACAGCACTGTTTGGCTGTGGTTTTCCGCTTGGTGGAGGTACTACGCCAGTTCGGGCCGCCCCAAGTCGAGCAAGATGTATCGAAACACATCTTGCTGTGCCCTCCCTTCTTAAAAACACCTCTTACAATCCGGTGATCACTTCCAATTTTGACGGCCTTGATCACAGAGACATCATTAAAAATCTGTCTTCTCGTTGACAAGATGAAATCTATCTCGTTTTTTGTGGCACCATCGGGACTAATCCACGTCCATTTCCGGTGTTCCGGCTTCCTGAAGAAGGAGTTCATCATAAAGAGGTTCTCCTTCTCCATGAAGTCGGCCAGCATTTGACCTCGGAAGTTCCGATCACCGATATCAAATTGCCCCACTCTCAGCTCATCACCGCTCCGTTTGCCCAATTTTGCGTTAAAGTCCCCCATGATAACGTTATAATGAGTCTTTGTACTATGTATGGCTCTGGAGATATCCTCATACATAGCCTCAACCTCATCGTCGGAGTGCGTCGAAGTTGGAGCGTACACTTGGATGACCTTCAATGAATACCGTTTTGGTAATTCTGAGTATCAGGTACGCTATCCTAGTCGACACGCTCTCGACCTTGATAACATTATTCACAAGGGACTTGTGGACGAGGAACCCGACACCGCCTTGGGACAGTTGATCGCCCTACTGGAAGTAAAGCAGATTGCCGGATTTCAGGACTATCGAGTCCTCTCCCTTTCTTCGGACTTCAGATAATCCCACGACATGCCAGTGCAATCTGCTCAACTCTTCCTCCAGTTCAGTTAACTTTTCGTCGGTCCGCAGTGTTTGAATGTTGTATGTTGCCAGGGCCAGTGGTCGTCGTTTGTGGTAGCCTGGTCTTACCCGGAGATTCTTCGCACCCCTTGCCCCGCCGTTTCCATGACCGCTACCATGGTCAAGACTAGCGGGGCCGCCGGGGACTGGAGGCCGGGGCCTTGGGTGTAAATCCATTTGGGGGGATATTGCCATAATCGCCACGCTTGGCATGCGGGTTGGCGATCACAGTATGTATGATGGTAGTTACTCAGTAGAACGCTGCTGCCCGTCCACTGGTCGATGAATCCCTTAGTCGCCTTTTACGACACCCATGGGAAGAGAGGGGGTGGTGCTATTCTTACAGCGACACCACACGCAAACCCTACCTAGTCATGCAGTCGCATTCAATATAGTATTCTACTATATCTGGCATATGGTGTGATTATAGTTATTACATTTTCGTATTCACATTTGTTAATTTTGTAGCCAATAATACTTTGGAAATAGGTATGGGATACTTCTATTTGTTATTTAATATAAAAATGTATGATTCACTGATTAAGTAAAAGGTGTTAAGATAAGTACTGAGAGCAAACACTTAGAGATTCATAACTACCAGTATGTAAAATACCATAAAGATTTATTCTATGTGTTAAGAAAATATATTGATAATATAATAATAATAATAAATTAAACGTGATGAACTATTTACCTGATGAAATCGAATAAATTCACGAACTCTGAGTATTTGTGTATGATATCGAGCAGTTCCAGAATAAAGTCGTTGTATAATAGCTGATACGTTGCCGAAGATACTGGCATACATCAGTGCTGTGGGTTAAAAGCATAAGGTTAATTTCACTAGAAAAATCCAACTTTCATAAAATTTACTAAGTATATGTACGTTTTAAGATATTCGCACTTACATCCAACTAACATTACAAATATCGTAAACCCCTTTTCCATATCAGTGTTTGGGGCTACATTACCGAAGCCAACGCTTGTTAAAGACGTGCAGGTGAAGTAGAGAGCTGTAATGTAACGGGACCTGGAAAATAAAATTAAACCTATAAATATCTTTTCGAAGATATTTATTTAAGTATATAATGCTTAGGAAGACCTTTAATAAAATGCTTAGAATATTAACCTCATTGATGGGCCAGTGGAGTTATCGTATGATGCTTGCACATCATTGGCAAGCGCGTCTAGCCATCCAATAGGTGCGTGCAGCTGAGGTCGCTCCCAGCTACCGATAGCATACCTATACAAATTAAATTTAATTAAACATAATTCCTTTAATAATATACATAAACATAAAATGGGAATATATCTCACCACAAACATGCCAGCCAATGCGCAATAAGCACAAATGTGGACATAAGGAGAAGAAGGACGGCAGTGCCATATTCGGAGTATCTGTCAATTTTGCGCGCGACACGCACAAGTCGCAGCAATCGCGCCGTCTTCAGGAGACCGATGAGAGTCGTCGTCTGCAACCACCACAATGACAGCTCAGAGCCCCTCACCGCCATTGCTACAGCAACATAAGTTAGCCGCAACTCAAGCGCTTTACGAAACGTTCGCTTATACTAAATAGCGTCAACGAGGCCTCGCAGCGGTATTCACGCTAACCAAGCAAAACTTGCCTATGAATATATGATTTCGAGCTCAACCAAACTTAGATATATTTTGCAGAATTACAAGCGATTAATTGTTTCAAAACTATAAAATTAGCTGGTTCGTACGGAATGCGGTGCATATAACTGTATATAATAAATCCTAAAATCGTACGCTCCTACCAAATATTTGTGTTCTTGTTAATTTATTTTGACATATTTTATGATGTTTCACGTAAAAATGAGTGCAGTAAATTAGCACATTCGGTGCACATTGTAAAATCAATAATGTAATGATTAAACAACTGCTAATTTGCTGTATCGTCAATAGTATAGATATATTGTGCTATAACGAATCTATATAACAATTACATGACTAAATAGAGGTACCTAAAATTATATAATATAAAATTATAATTATCTACATTCATGGCTTCTTCTACAATACAAATGAATAGCTGAGAGTAAGGATATACCTACGATAGTAATTATATTGTATTCTCTGTATCTGTGGTATTATTCATGTTTGTCAGTATGAATTTATACACGCAAACTTTTCTTCAATTATTTTTCTGAATGTAAGAAAAGAGAAGGTAGTTGCTTAGTTAATTAGGTAGAAATCGTAGAAAAGTTAAAGTTAGCACTGTTATTCTACAATGCTACACACACAGTTACCTTCTGATTTATAGGACCGAAGAAGTGACATTGTGTTATTATGTTGCCTAGTAAATAAAAAATGTATATACCTATATTCCAGGCTAAATATTATGCTTATTTATATCTATATATTAAATGATAATGTAAATTTTAATGTACTATATAACACACTAACCTATATATATATGTATTAATGACTGATGTACCAATTTTAATTAATTAAAATTGCATCAAAAGCTAATCGAACATATTTAAATTTCTAAATTTAATGTGTCAAACATTTCCCTATTTCCTTATACCTAAATCCTGAGTAAAGATAATTATAAATAATGCACTTTTGATTCATCTCATGATGAGTCAGTTACTCAGTCCTGGGAACATTTAGCAATCATTTAAAAAAACAAAACACTTTTATTCCAATATTATTAGGTTATTCATATTGTTGACAGGGTCGTTATTTTCAGTCGTTTCAATCAAAATTCGTTAAAATATAACGGCAGCAGCTGTTATAAACGGGTCGATATCTATATATTTGCATAAAATTTATAATTATACTAATATTAGTTTAATAATTTTTGTTGTATATTAACAAATATTAAAAGAAAATAAAATGAAATTATAAAAATGAATCGGTTAGTATTTTGAAATTTCACACTTTAAAAATCCTTATTAGATCCAGTTGCTCTAAAAAATTCTAGGTAGTATTCTAATATCAAAATTCTTATATTGTAAATTATACTATATTTATCAAAAATAAAGCAGGATAAGTTTGTATTACAAAGTATGATTGGCAAGCCTTCAATACCTATGCTATACCTTCAATGCAAAAACACGCATGATATTGCTAATCTTTTTAATTATTAACTAATTAAAAAGATCCTTCGCTCCTAACTACAGAGTACGAAAATAATAAATATAATTTTCTAAATACGTAGCTTGGTATAGTACATAAAAGAAACTAATGTATTTTTGAACTATTCTGCTTTTAAACAATTAATCAGTGTTATTCATTTAATAATTTTATGTAGCAGGTATGTAGGTACTTACCCAAACTGGCAACTGGAATATCTAGATGTTTAAAATATTCTATTATGGCACGTTGGTCACACCTACGTCTACGTCACACTGATCTGTTCTGATCGAATGTCTTTATTTTACAGCAGGAAGTTTTACAGTAGAAGTATTTGTATGAAAATAGTTGTTAACAGAGTTATCGGTAAGAACTCTGTTAACTGTATATTGCAACATCAACTTTATCTGTCAATTTCCAATTACTATTAAACAATTTTAATATTTCATTTTTCTTAGATATTTGTAAATAATACTCTTATAGCAATTGAAATGAAGAGAATTGAAACATCAGTCACGTAATAACAGTTCCACTGTAATTATAGGTGAAAAGAAACCAGAAATAGATACCATGTACAATGTTGTTACTATGTGTATTTCATTCACATTTTATTAATATATAAATTAATTATCTGTACCAGTCGCCAAGCAGCTTGCTTTGTAAAAATTCAGTACGAAGGTATTTTAGTCCTCCGGAATGGCAACACATGAATCTCACGTAAACTTGTTATGCCTGTGGCGTTGCTTATGTAATATCTATAGTATATCTGACTTTTGACACTTATCATCAGGTAGGCCGTCAGCTTGCTGTTACATACAAAAAATAACTTTCCTGTATGTAGATATCGTCTATATGAAATCAACAGGCATATATAATAATATATTTACAAAGTGATGGTAGATTAGCAAAAAAAAAAATTAATAGTTTAATAGGTTTGGAAAGTTGACAGACACTAAAAATGTTGCGTGAAGTTGCCGATGGAATTTTAATTAAAAATATCGCGACAGTGTTAGATTGGATGTAATTGTAATGAATCTCCTACCCGATGAATAATACTAAAATATTATGACCAAGTACAACTTGTAACGCATATAGGATAGTGCATTATTACACTATGCATTAATTAAGATAAAGTACGATACCTAAATTGTATAGGTACATTCTTCAAAGTCAAATGTCATACTTATTGGCATTTGATTTCTTTCTTGTATGAACAATGAACCTACTACTACCTATGTGAGATACAGTAATTAATTGGATTCAGTCTTAGATTACAATGAGATGTAATGAGACATATACCATCACAAATAGGGGAATGTTCATGATATATATATGATTTCACCATTAAACCAAAATAAGATATGAAGAGCGTCTAAATACAGCCCTGGCAGTATTACTTTACTGCATAAAAGAAATTGGATATATTGATTGTAATTAGGAGTATTATCCAATTGATCCAAAATCCATGACCTTAATTGCAATATTATATTTTATGATCAGTTTAAATATAAATGACAAATTATAATATCACGACACGTTTACTATTATACTCGTATATATTGGGCGAGAAAGTTGGTGCAATGTTGCATATTTATATACATATACACAAGTTTTGCAACTGTTGGTTTTAATAACAATAATTTTCATTTTTTTTTAAAGTGTTGAAAAGTTTGTCATAGTTTTATGGAATACTTTGTCAGATACACACTCAGGCACCAGGGTTAGGATAGTAGGATGTAAGAATAAACAAAAATAAAGAAAATATTACAAAATAATTTATTAAAAAAATAACAATATCACTTAGCGACTTTGCCAGTGTCAAATGTATATTTTTTTGATATTTACAGTCTGATAAAGATATTTCATATGTATTAAATACTTACATCAAAATTTAAAGGTTTATTTTTATTTGCTCGCAGATTTTGACCATGTTAATCCCGATTGTGATGCAATAAGTATATACCTACATTATACAGTACACAACATACTCGTTGGTGTTGTGTCAACTTGTTACAAAATATTTTTTAAAATTTTATTATCAAGCACTTAATTTGAATGGTTTTAAAGGCTTTTCACCTTCTGTACTTAAATATGGTACGTTTATAAATTAATTTTAACATGGGCATAGTCACGAACACTGACCAAAAAATAAAATTTAACATTTGTCAATATAAAATTGTAAGTAGCAATAGAAATTAAATTTAATGATGAAAAAAGTTAAAGCAGGTTGGTTGGTATATTAATGAAACCGTCTCGATACTGTTTGATGCATATATATGTATAGATATAAGGTGGGTGCCTTTAGTATGTAATGTACGGGACTGAATAATGTCTAACTTTGTGCTCATCATGACGTGACTATAGGCGATTTACCTATTAATTTGTACAATTGTAACTGTCTGGGAAGTGTGAGAGGATTTGCTGACAAGCACTGTGCACTTTGTGAATTTTGCACTTTTGTAATGAAAAGCCAATAAAAATGTTGCGCCGATAGGTATCTATCTATGCTATTAGTACGATAATTCCTATCTAAAGGTATCCCTAATCATAAAAATAGCTAAAATATACCTATTAACAAGACCCGTGTATGTTTTAATAGATTAGACTACCTTCTGTCATAAAAATACTTCAAGAATATACAATATTTGTAATTATTTATATATTCTTCAATTCAAAATAACAATTTACTAATTATTAAATAATTTGAATAAATATATATAATTACGCAGGTGAAGGCCCTCTGGAGGTCACCTTGACAGCTTGCGGCGATCGTTACCACTAACGTTCACATAACGTTACAACCGCAACTCTACCATTAAAGCTATGAGTAGGTATGACTTTTCAAACTAAATATAATAATAACACTCTGTTATTTTGTTACCAGAGTTAAACTAAAATGATATTACAATATGAAGTGATAATATGTTATCTCTTTTATAATTTCATTATGTTTTATCTATGTTAGTTGTCTGGACTACCTACGGGGTAATGGTAGACGATAGATACTAAGCTATCCATGACACTGAGATCCTGACGGCGGGCAAGCTCGTGAAACATAGCAAGTGAGCTTCATTAATGTTGAGCACGGTGTGAGATTTGAAAATGATTATAACATTTTGCTCATGGGAAGCGTCCATATCTTCCATTAACGCATTCGCATAGTGGGTTTAAAATGGCTAGTGGAAATTAATCGATATAAATATATCAACTAAAATATAATAAAATTGAGTGGCAGCAACAAAAAAATAGTTCACAAAGATGGTATACCTCATCACTTTCCAGCCCCTGCTGTAACAAGAAATGGTATAACAAATTCAATACGCACCCACCTTTGGGCTCTCCAAACCGTGATTATTTAAGGAAAATTATAAAAATAGAAACATTTATAGTCGAGAACATAACAGATAATTAGATGATTAATGATAATAGTATGTTACAATTACTTCGAAATACATAAATTAAAAGGTACATAAATTAATGTGTATTACAAACAAAACATGATATGAAGACACTAATTTGAAAATATGTTAAGAAATAATTTGAGATAATAAATAGCTCATCGAATTGGCCGTAATGTGATCGAATAAAAATTATGTAATTTATTTGTGTTAACTTCCAATAGTGACAGTTGCAACAACTGCATTCCACTACTGCATGTGATTGACTAAAATTACCAGGGCTTCATTTGTCCGAAATCAACGTTCAAATATAAGCCCGAACTTGGCAAAATAAAGAATTTGATTCCAAATATGCATAAGTATTGTGGCTAATAATAGTTATCGTTCAGCCCTAGCTTGACCTACTTCACGTATTAACTTATGACCTCTTTTTCCCGATCTTTATACAGACAGACTGCATCGTGTTTTTCTACCTTAACCTTATAATAGCTATATTTACTTATAATTATTACTTATGTATATTTTAGGTTCACATATTAAATATCAATAGTTAACAAATTTAAAAGTGTATAAGAACCGTTTGGGTCAAAAGTCACCCGTGCAAATTTTCCTTTCGGACAATTGATTGACTGGTTGCTGTTTTCTAAATTTTAGGCAATTATTTTGACAGTCTAATGCTAAAGTTGTATTATGTGTAATATGTGAAATGAGATCAAATTTGGTGGGTGGTGGGAGGGAAAAGCAGCTCACTTCGTCGGTGTCGGTTCCGAACAGCAGAAGATCGAAGGGGATGGCGGCGACAAGATCGATGACGAACCACCCCCTCAGGTAATGCATCGCTATCTTCGCGGGGTCGGACTCCACCTCATCCGCAGTATTCACAAATGTGGTACGGAAGTTTATCAGTATGTCGACAATGAATGTTACGTCCACTGAAAATTAAATATCAATATCAATTGCATATCTATGGTATTTTACAGGTAAAAAGACGATATAATTCAAATTGTATCCAAAGAATGAAAGTTTATTTTATTTATTCTTTGTTGGAGGACGAATTCTAGAAGTACTATACTTGCAGGCTCGGTTAAAGGGTTTTATTTCAAGCTGTCCTGCTCTAACACCGGTATAATTGTGCTTGTGTCCCCCTATTTATCTTTTATGACACACTGGGGATAAAAAGACGTAGTGATATGTTATATTCTTACTCTGTCGCAATAAGGATATATTTTAATTGTAGGTTAGTATTAAAAATGTGTTTACCAATCATATCAATAACAACAATGGGATCTTCTCCAAAGCTGCGCGAGCGTTTGTCAAAGTCTGGTTCATTTAGCTGGAAAGCGGCTACGTAGGGTGTGAATATTGCTGTGTAGATCACCAAAATTAAGATCAACCAATCCCAAGCGGCCTGAAATATGATATATTTATTTTATTCATAACTTTTGTTGGTTACAAGTCCGATATCAAGTAGCAAAGTTGTAAATGCCGTTTGTGCCGTGGCTAATAGAGTAGGTATTTTGTACTTTTGCGTGTCGAGCACTAACGAGGTCGTTGCGTTGAAATGTTGTTTCATTTTAATATGTCCCCTACATATTTCTTTTAAATATTTACTCATAGAAATAAGTCATATATATACATATGTATGATCGGCGTCCATAATATGTATTAAATTTGATATAGATAAGAATGTATAATACATTCTGTTATATTTTTTTTTTACTTTTGATGTGAAATAATATACTCAAGTTACTCAGTTGCTCTGAAAAACATTTTTAATTTATTATAAATAATTATACTAAATAACTATAAAACCATTTAGAAATAAATATGATATTAATTAATGTCCTACATACCTATATTACGAAGTTGTCTTAAACTTACATATGTTTAAGACAACTTCGTAATAACTCGCCTGAAAAGGGAAACATCATTTTATACTATTACTTTTATTAATTAAATTAACAATTTTAAATGTATTATTATTTCGTAAATCTGTTACACCTAGAAAGTTCCTCAATAAAATACGTAGGTTATTCTAATGTTTGGATAACTATGGATGCGCGTCAAATTCAAATAATAAATGTCAATGATCTTCATTTATGTACATGCTATTGACATGTAAAGTCTCAAATTATCTAAGACAATTATGAATTCACTATAACAATACCAATGTGAAATATGAAATAGAAATATGTTTACTATAACCCTCACAAGTTGCCAAGCGGTAACATTCATAGCACGTCTACAACTCCACAATTTTTTTATCTCTCGTAGATAATACAAACAGCAGTAAGACTTATGACAGTATTAGTGATACGACAAATTGTACGTATTCTACTTACTTAATGATGTAGGTACGATATTATATTGCAATGAAAATATCTTGCAGGAATGCATCCGTAAATGTATTTTTTATGATTATCCTCATATCAGTGTAAATAGTAGGCCGTGTCGAGTAGGTATTTCATAATATATTTTGTCTTACATATGCTATTATTTATCAATAGCCTGATATAATTTATTGCGCAATATGATTTAATAGTTTTATTTTATATGTTTAATTTATATATTGATCTGCATTCATAGAACATATTGTAAGGTATTATACTGTTATATCCAGATTGCCCAATAATAAACATTTTAACTAAAAGCAACCAACTCTAATAATTCTGTTCATTCTGAACTTCAAATTAGTTGTTAATAGAAGTTGTATTGGTCTAGTCTAATTAATTATTTACCTTGTAAGGAGAATGGTGGAGAATAGTGCAGGGGTGAGATGGCTGCGTGGTCCCCTTGGGCCCCGTCGCACCCAATGAAAGTACCTGAGGACAATGACGTTCAATGTATAACATAATGTATTTAAAATAGTAATAAGTACTATACACTATGAATATGCTACTTATTATCACACATATCATCAGTGATTTTATAATCTGGATTATATTAAACAGTACATGTAGCAAATGTACCGTACACACACAATATGATATCTTGTATCTGAGGAAGTCACTAAACCTAGTTGGTTAATATTACAGCTATTACGTATATTATGCTTCCATCTATGTTTATATTCGTAATAGAGTAAGTATGTATAAGTGCCTCATGGAAACGTGTGGTGCAAAGCCCGTAGCTATAGTTATGTGATTTACACATAACTATATAGTATTCATTTGAATACTTGACTTCAGATCTATATACAGTCTAAAATCGAAATGATTAGGTACGGTTTATCAGCGATGTATTATAAAACTGGAAATTAAGTGATACAGATAGTCTACTTGCGCTGACTTCTAAAATACGAGTATCTTATTGTACATAAATAATAAAATGTTTGTTATTACCCCAAATATTTATAGTATCTTTATTATCATCTTTATAAGACTTCAAAATTACTAAACATTAATGTAATATACAATCTTAATGTAATATTATACATATTTGACTTCTTAATATATAAACCAATATTTTATTTGTGACAATACAGGTACTCGCATATATTTACTTTAATTTAATTTATAATATCAGTTACATAAACCTGTACTTGACTTCTATAGTACAGGTTTCGACTCTTGACTCTTACACTTGTAAATTTAAATATATTTTTTTCATATTGTAAGTATACTGTCAGCAGATTAGAATATTACTATTATAGTTTGTATTTATTTATGTAATGAGAATTAATCTGACGACCTAATGGTGGTAAACGGTATCCGTCACTATTATACACGAACAGCACTACGCAGATAAGGTTATCATGTCTTTATACCACTCATGAGTTGCTATTCTGTACTAACTTGTCATAGCTCTAATCTTGAAATTTCACTGTCTTGTGAAATTGGAAAATAAGAGCTAGTGAACTTACAATTGCCTTCAACCGAAGCACAACTTATATACTATATATATATATACTTGAAGCACTCTATCTATTAAAAAACCGTTTCAAAATCCGTTGCGTATTTTTAAAGATTTAACCATACATAGGGACAGACAGCGAGAATGACTTTGTTGTATACTATGTAATGATGATGATATGTTACCACTTTTATTTTATTGTCTCCCACAGTTACTAAATAGTAGGTACGTATCTGTACATGTAGATTATTTACAGTACATTTTTTTTAAATTAGCCTATAGATTTTACAAACGGATATCATTTAAATGAGTGCTTTATTTTTATTATATCAGTCATTTGATTGAATAAAATAAAATTTATATATTTATATCAAGTTACAATTTTTGGTGTCAAAATAAGCATGGAATAAAATAAAAACAAATATAATTCAATAAATTTTTTTCTGAAATATAACTAACTTTTAGTTATAAATTAAATCGTATTATATTGAAAATGTATAAAATCAACTGCGTTTGTAGATGTTTGTGTATTACTGCAAGGCATGTCTGTATGGTGTGCTTCATGACCCATGAAATAAAGGCGAGGTTACTGATTGTAACAAATAAAATATTTTCTAACATGTGAAATTACAGAATGTGCGAGTACATATACCTATAGCAATAATTGCTTAAACATATGTTAACTATACACAATATAATTGAAAATAAAAAATATAACATAATAATTTTAGTATATTTAGGTAATAAACCTCTATTCCCATCTGACGATGAGAAACAGAATATTCTCTGCAATACTTATCTGTATATTTAGTTACATATGGTATAGTATTATATGTAGTCGACTGGATTCTGTTTCATATTGTCAGAGGGGAATATAATAATTAAATATGAGGGTAAGAAATAAATCGAGACATTTATAATCTATATATAAGGAAAACTCGTATTTTGGTTTTATTCATTCATGATAATGAAAAATAATAAGATAATTTACAGCCAAAATACGTACAGGTATTTATGAAGATAATTAGGTAGTTACCTGATGTGAGCTTAGTAGTATTACCAGTTCTAGTTTGAAGTTTAATCAGGTGAACAGAAGGAACAATTTAATAATGAAGTGGTAAGTTGGTCTCGGCCTATACCCAGTATTTGGACGTGGCAGCAATATGCAGATACCTACATGTAAAAGGTCAAAGAGATTCCAGCTAAATTAATCATTCACCGGCTCACACTGCGTATGCTATAATATTTATGAGGTTCCTGTACAGGTTTTCGTCCCGAAAAAAGTCATCACATAAATTTTGTTAAATGGCCGCAGTGAGTAGTGATTGCGCATCTTGAGGTCGTTCGACCTTTACAGGCCCTTTTGGAAGATATTACAACGCACATTTTACCATTCTTAAAAATTAATGCATTAATTTTTAAATTTGTACATTACACAAAGTAATGAATCGGCTTAGGTACATATTGTTTTATTGGTCAAACACTTCTGTGTCTTTACATTATAAATCTGGCAAAGAGATATATAATTTACCTCCTTGCCGATGGCTGGTAACCCGTTGAGGCCATTACAGGGCGGTTCGAGACGAACGACACTCTTCCGAGACCCGCGGAAACCTGTGTCGCGTACACGCACTGAAGAACGCCAGGTTGATGGAGCATCGTCGCGGGAGCCGCGGGCAGAAGCGACGCGTCGTGAGGTGGTGAGCGCGGCGCCACCGCCACCACCGCCGCCGCAAGGTGGCGTCACGATCAACGGCACGTCGGGAGGCCCACGTTCCTCCATGCCGCTGCCGCACCAACGTTCTCACCGAAACCCACCGTGTTCTGACGCCTCTGAGGGTTCACATTCCAGCACGGCTCTCTCGTAAGCCGTTGCCGACTCCAGAAGAGCGATAGCCGTATTTTGCATAGATGGATCTTTTATGTCCGTAGACTCTTGTGACTCTTGAGTGTCTTCAATTTCGAGGGAGTTGGTAATAGTTACGGTTATTAATGTATACGAATAATTTAAATATAAATATGAATACTATGGTATGGTTTATTTAATGCCTGAAATTTTATCTGTAATATATTATTTAATATCTATTGCCAAGTCAATGTTATTTCAGAACTATAGTGTTATCTCAGGCATTGCAAGAACTCACATTATTTTTCAACAATAGTCTCTGAGCCTAATACACCTTGGTATTTAAAAGTGAGAACAATTCCGGAAGTTACCTATGATATTATTTTTTATGAGCGAGTCATTTACCAAGCTTAGTGTGACTGAAAGCTGAGAACCAGGCCAAGTCTCACATAATTAAGGCTGTATGTCTGTAGACGGTTTAATGTTTAGATGTTTTTAAGATATCACGCGAGACTTCTTGGAACTGAATTGTTTATTACGTGACGGTAAAATATGGAAATCCAAGATAATGTGATAATTTTAGATACACCTATTAGTTTGTTGACCACAATCAGTTATCGTCGATAAGTTTACAACAAAAACGAACACTTTCGCCAGGAAATTATGGCAATAATGAATAATAAGAACAATAGGTATTCATGGTTATTACCCTGAAATTGTATTCAATTTCCGTTCTATTTAATGTACTTTATACTACCATTTCCGAAAATAGATTCAGAAATTATGAAGGGAGTGAAGTTTATCGTTACATAAGTACCTCTCTGTTCTGATTTATTGTTTGATGAATTTATTATTTACGTAGCGTAAAACACTAGTCTAGAGTAAATAATTATCGTCCCCGAAATTAAAAATATTATTGTAAGTTATAAGACGGTTTAAATTACAATTTATTTTACAAATTATTGTAACAAAATGTTAGTACAAATTGTTTTATTTTTCTTATAAAAGTATCTATTTTGGGGAAAAGTAAATTACAGATATTAATTTACAAAATTATCTAATAGGGTATAAATATAAGGTAATTGTTATAGAATTAGAGAAGACATCGCGTACTAGACGTATGTAGACGACATAATGTAAAAATGAGATTGATTACACATAGATCCTAATATGAATACATTAAGGTTTATTTTATAAATAAGATAAGATATATATCTAGTATTAGTCTGTTATCGTCGTGGCAACCCTTGATATTCAGCAGTTCTACCGCTACGTTTCGGCATTAGATGGTGATTGCTATTCCAGTATCATAAAAGAAAAAACAATCAGCAATACAGCGGTAATATTCATGAAATTGAACAATTTTATCCAAGATATAAAGAACGAAATATGAATACCATTTTTGTAGCCTGATTTTATTACATGAATTATGAATTCGCGAAATTTCTCCTTTTAAATCGACTCTCAAAGTAAGGTCAATTTAAAAGTTTCTGTTGTTTGTGTAACATAGATACAGATAAAATAAATATTCATCAGATTTTTATGCTCACAATTCACGTTACACACACAATAGTGTTTATTTATTGGTATTATTTTTGTTGCAGAACCAATTGTACCTAATATCTGTTGTCTATGAAGCTGGCATGTTCCTCTTAAGTCAAAATTAAAAAGATTCCTTTTGGTTATCATTGATTATTTAATAAATTTTGTTTCAGAAACATTTTTACATATCAGTTATATTAATAATTTTGTCGGTTTCTATCCCGTATTTCACTGACCATAATAATTTTGAATTAATCATAATACAGCAAGTTTTATAAGACTTAATTTGCTTATTTCCGTATTTACAGAATTCCTTTTGCCCCCTTCCCGTGAGAAGGTTCAATATGTGCTATTAAATACAATTTCCGTATTTTTGCATGAACTTTTCTGCCAATTAAGCCTAATTTCCATTGTAAATTACACTGTTATTAATTAGGTGAATTTATAAATAATTATATAATTTGAGAACGAGTAAGATAATAATGGCGATGCACTTTATAAACAATACATCTCAACAATATAGTAGATAGAGCCTACTGACGGCAAGAAATAATCATGTAATTTTATTCAGCAACTTGAAATTGCTGCGATCCCTTTTAGCAAACTACTGTTACATAATACTCTTGCATCTGCTTTGTATTGTACCTATATAATATAATGTATTAACGTACATAAGTACGTAAAAACCATTATTTTTTGTATTAGATTTGTGTAGGTACCTTGGATATACCAAATTAAAAATTTTTGTCCCGCGATTAATTTGCTAAATTAGATGGTTTTATTATTATTTATTGAGATTGTCCTTCAACTGATAGCTATCTATAGAGTATAGCTAGTATTTGTACATAATAACCACATATACATAATTTACTAACATTATGTAATACTAGCTGTTACCTGCGACTTTGTCTGCGCAGAATTTAACTTGATTTATTATTTTATTTCAATAAACAAAATTTCTAAAATAAAAGTACTCGTTACTCCTTAGGATATTAGCTAGTGAAAGTCCTTTAAAATTCGGTACAGCTCTTTTAAATGAAGAACAAACATACAGACAGACAGAAATATATTTTCGAATTATTTTTTTGGTGTAAGTAATTATATGCATGTAGTTATAAGCTGTTAATTTAGAAACAGATACTTCAATTTTATTTATTGTATATATCTATACATTATCTTATCCGTGCTAACATTCTACTACATACATTTAGCTAGATTCGTAAAATGTAGATCTCTAAGAAAAAATAAAGCAATGTTGATGCGTGCCAAGAATGTAAGTTTGGACCAATAAAATAAATTATGTATGTTACTATAATATCAGCGGATGTCTGCGGCATTCTTTCAGATCGCGAGAGGGAGGGGCTGCATGCTTTACATAGTTTTTACTTAGTTGCCATTACATAAATATATAAATAATATCTATCTACCCAATGTCATAACGTGCTATGATTGTTAATTTTATCGATACAAAGTCAATTTTACTTTTTGAAAGCTATAATCATTCAAGGACATGACTGAAAATGATAATGCTTTGATATCTGTCTAAATTCTACGTGATTGTTTTGAAAAGTGAACTGTCAAATTCCTTTTAAATAAGGCCAGTTTTATGGAGGTAATGTGTAAGATTATGTATGATTTTTGTTACTTAAGAGACTCGTCAAATGTAATAATACAAAATATTCAAATCTATCTTCCTACTAGTAATAGAAAACGTATATGTAGACAAAGAAAACCATACCATGGTAGTCATAACTCCAAGCATGGATCGCGTTTGTTTTCACTTATAAATAGCAAAATTATAGCAAAAACAATTTGAAGGAATATTAATCGCTCAAGCTTGCAAAGAAAAATACTCCAAGAAAAACACCTCTCGAGGATTGACGCAGCATTCACGTAATGAACTAAGCACAGGACGGCACCACACTTTTATTAATAAACAATACATACAAGTGATATCCGACCACTTTTCATTAATGCATAAAAATTAAGCCTATAAGGTATATTGCAGCGCAACAAAAACTGCTTAGTTGCCAGCGAAATGATATAAATAGTTTTTATTTTTAATGCAGTCGATCGATTGAAACGCTCGGCTTTAATGTACGCTTGCACATTATGTTGGATACGTAAATGTTTTTCTGTTGTAGATTTCAGAAGTATAGATTATTTATAAAACGCGATATCGTTCACTAAAGGCGAGAGGCCTAGGAACGATATTTAGATAACAATTCGATGGCAGTGTGAGAAGCGGTAGAGTCCGCAGCGTGGTCACCGGACGTAAACTCGATGGCTCACAAGCGAACGGCGCACGCAAGAGGTCGCTGTGCGCGCGTCGGGCTCTGCTGGCACGGACCGCTGCCGCGCCACCGACCCGCCCGAACGGGCTCCGACCGGTGGCGGAAACAGGCGAACGCAGGCGTGACCTCGCACAACCTCCCCTTTTACTCATCGAACGTTTCAGCTGAAACGCACGGTGTCGCCATTCCGTGCTACTGAATAATGCCACCCCCGGTCACGTGACTGTACAACATTAAGCCCTGAGATTCTACCTAGAAATGACTCCATTTATTTTAAACCATGCAGTATATATGCCATACAACTTTAATAAATAACTCTAATTTGTTGCATAACGACAATATGACCTGATTATACTGATATTGTTAATTAACAATTCCTTCAAAAACAAGACAAAAGTATAACTGGAACAGCGTTACAAAAAGTCCTAAGAGGAAAAGTAAAAAGAACGCAATGTAATCTTAAAGCTTTTGTTTATAGTAGAGTGTAGTAGTAAATTTGGGACCCTGGAGGGGTCAATTCTATACAAATGAACGGAGCATTAAAGTAACGTTACGCTGAATAAAAAAATCGATTATTATTTGAAATTTAAAATACTACCAGTATGAAATTATTATGACTTCTACAGATGTCCTACTCTTTTGCAGATACGAATACAACTACGCAGGCGTAGCAATATTCCACTTCGGTGTCTATATTAATTTATTATTTCGTTTTAAAGTTTCCTTTTTAAATTCCTAATAAATGAATCTTATTTGAATTAGTTTTGTTTATGTTTTACAGTTTATTATCGATAAGTATAAAATAAAAGATAAATAATAACTACCTGATGCTACAAACGAAATAGTATTTATTAATAGCCTAATTTAAAACAGTCACTGTAATTCTGATGTGCTTAAAAAATATTGGACTGGTGATGTTAACTTGTTTTGTTGTATCGGTTGTTCAAAAACATTGACATTAAAATAATTATTTAGAACATTCACCTTCTCTTTCAACATTATTTTTATTGTGAATATTTATTTTTAATTTCAATCAACGACAATAAGTTTCTTAAATCGATTCAATTATCTGTACGTTAACACTAATTCCATTGACAAATATGGACATATATACTATTCAAACTGATAAACTCTTTTATCTTTAGTATAAAACTCTGAAATTATCTACTCAATGAACTGAAAAAGAAATTATCTCTAAGTTATTATATATCAAGGCGGCGGAGATAATAGGAACAGAAAGAAATACAAATTGAAACATGCGTACAGAATCCAAACTAATCCATCTTGGTGAAAGTATGTCTCTAGCCTCAGTAGTCTAGGGTATTTTGTAGTTGTAATAGAGATTACTTTCGAACTAATATTACCTTAATATTCTATATTTAGAATTTTCAATTTACATAAGTACAAATCAATATAATTTGAAATATATACGTCAGTAATGTATTATAATTTGTTATATGCACTTACCAACAAAAACATAATAAAAATAATGTTTACCATGTTTATGCAGTTGAGTCAATATCGTATTAAATCATTGCGATTAAAATTGAATACTGAAATGAGTTTAATGTTTATTTTTAATTAAATTGATCAACATTTTTATATTCATAATTTGAACTATTATAGTATGCAGGCAGGATGTATATATTTAATTTGTTATTTCAGACAACAGTCGTGACACCGCTTATAATATATGTTGACAAATACGCATGTAGAGCTTGAATCTAATCAAGAAAATCTAAAAAAATAAAAATGAGATATACAAATTATTGAATTTTAGTAGAATAAAATTCAGTAGGAATAAGTTTTCTAACGTAATGGTTTCAGCTGATGTATTCTCTTTTTTAACGTTTAACGAAAGTGGATCAAATGACCTAAGAAGTCATTAGTTTACATAGGCGATAAATTTCAATTTTGCTTAGTGAAATCAAGGTAAAGAAGCCACGGCCTCGGATTATGCAACGGCGTAATGGTGTAGGTATAAGAATACGTATAGGGTAGACTCTGCTAGGTACTTATCTGCTAAAGGTGTGCGAGTCCTTGAACTATTGCGTGCTGATCAACACTCACCGGTGATGCCGTGATATCAGTGGACTACAGACTACGTTGTGACGTAGTCACTTTCAGTTTTGAATTCAGTTTCTTATGTATGTAGTATTTCAATTTCTACAATAAAAGATTATACTTGTTATGTATGTCCCGATTTACTATGCGTTGTTTTCGCAAGAACAATAGGCCGTAATTTTTTCTATTTTTAGCAAAATTTTAAATCAAAACAAATACTGAGATTAACATGTGCATATTTATGAAAACACATGTCTGAAAACTCGAGCTCTGTAACAAGTTCAACAAGCACAAAATATATTTTTTAAATAACGCTTAATGTTTGACTTACCTACATTATAAAATAAAAAATCATATTAGAAGAATTACATTAAAAAAGTTTTTATGGTGAATACTTACCACTTTTTCCTCGATAATGTCATTATTGTTGTTGTTGCTCCCATATTTTAAGGCACCGTTTTCCATGACCACGAATCGCCGGGTCGTCTTTGATTATGTTTTTTGACACTAGACCTCATGTAATTATCTTTTTGCTATAACTGTATTTAGATTATATTTATTACTAATTTAAACATTCATCAAGGAAATGCCGTCCACTATTGTGACACCATTCCCGTAGATACCGGATTGTTCTCCAATTTTTAGAAGAAAACTGTGTTTTTTATGCTTATTGTTAGATGTAAATTTTATGTAATCTAAAAAACTCATATAGAATAGTGAATAGAATATTTACGTTCGTCTTATATTCTTAGTTGTAAGAACTTACGTTGTTCTTAGTAATAAGAACTAGGCTAAAGTTACGACATTAGAGTAATTTATTTAGATAAATGGTAAGAACATAGAAAAATATTAATATTACTTGTTCTTGACATATAATTGCATGCCTTTAAAAAGTAGGAACATGATGTGAGATTGTTTAACAGTTTAACATTAAGGAAGATTGTTTCTTAATAAAAACAAAGTATAAATATGTCTCTAAAAACAAAGTATAAACACAGTATAAATATATCTTTGGTTGGACTTTTTATCATGTCTACTTATTTATTATTTTATAATTATATATACAGTCTGATAATAAACAAACACAAATTTTTCTTTCATGAAATTATTGGTTTCGAAGCGTAACATCGTAGTTCTGCATGAGGCCGCATGAGGCTAAAGTGTACTGCATAATGTGAGTGGTGCATTATTTATTCCTTTCATATAAAAAAAAAATATTTGCAAATATACCGAGAAATATACTTAAGCATAATAAATTAATCTATTATTTCTAGAAAACAAGTATTCCGCGATTATTCATGGGCTAGCCTCGCCTCTTTTATACTTTAGCGAGAAATATACTAATATACTAACATATACACTAATATGTAGTATCATTATATTATTATATGTTTTATATTAGCACGACGTTTGTTATCTTAATATTTTAGCTGCATCTCGGGATATTTAGTATTTAAGAAATTTGTTTTAAGATTTAATTTTTGTACTTCATAATTTATTGTATCGCATGTAATCCGTTTAATTAGTATCAATTATGATATCTAATACATCTTTCTGCCATTATAATAATAAGTAATCTTTACATTGCAAATCAATTTATAATAGATTGTCGGCATTAATTAAGAAAATAGAAGAAATTTTATTCTTTTAAGACTTGAATAATTTGATAATAAAATGTCCTGCTGTTAACAATACAAGTTTCTATTGCAAACCATATCTAACGTACTTATTTCATAAGATAATGAATCCTGTTACCTATATTATATATAATATTAGGTTTTTTTGTAATTATATTAATGTCGTTAGTCGCAGTTGGTCTTTACAGCTTTACCATATGGGCCACTTCAGCGTGTTTTGAAAAGAAAAATAAATACAAGAATAATGTGATGCACATTATTGATGTTATTTTTTTAACTTCTCTAATACTGTTGTCCTAGCTGTCCTTTTTTCTTCACCGAAAGAAAATCGGCTATTCCGTGGCAGGACTATTGGAGTGGCTGAAGGCCAACTCTAGTCTGAGGGACGCGTCTTTAATGTGAGAGCACCGCTAGGGTTACAAATCTTGGCACAGGTTTTCGTAGACTGATCATAGGTAACTAATATCTCTATTAGTAGATATTAGCTGTTATTGTAGTTTTGGTAGTTAATTGTATATAAAATTCTTGCAGCAAAATACATATGATTTCATTGCTAAATTACATTAATTTTGATAACAAGTGTTTATTAAATTGCAACCAACACGAGAACTAGTATATTTTAAGGACAATAAATAAAGTAAACAAATTTGTCTTACATTATTAACAATATTAACAATGCATGTAATAAAAAAATGAACCATGCAGGTTAAAATTAATTTTACTTTTACTATTCAAATTTTTCAGTGTAGCCATCAGTGTTATATACCTTAGTTGTTTGTATATTTAGACCATAATAACTCTACCTTACATTAATTTACAAATATTTATTTAAATTATTATAGTAAAAATTGTAAATAGAGATATCGTCTTTAGCATTGCGCGATAGCTACTGCACGAAATCCACATGCTAATTTTCATGGAAAAATTATAACAGTAGGTACTATGTAAAATATTATGCCGTCGGCATTGTTATTTCTTACATTACACTAAATATGATATATTTATTGTATACGCATATTAGTATTGGTAATGAATGAATGAATTTAATTTAAATTAACACCTTACAGAGAATTTAGATTCGTCTGCAATAGATTTGTTTTTTTTATAAGATTAAATTTTTTTGTAATATTTCCTTACAGTATATTTAGTTGTGTCAGTTACAATAAATAACATGTTATATAATCATAATAATATTATAACTGTGTTGCTACGTTACTTTTCTTTGTAAACATTTCTTTGTTCTTTCAGTCACTGATTTGTTAATGACTTATTATGGCGAAGAATATATTCAGCAGTTTTCTCGAGCGGTATATATATTTATCATTGGCCTTATTAATGTTTTTATTGTTAATTATAACACTATTATACTTTCGAACACTTTCACTTTAGTCGATAATACAGTAGAGAAAAGTTTTATTCAGGGTTTTGCTGATTAAAGGCACTGTGTGTATAATATTAGGACACATGATGGTTTATCGGTAGATTTGAACGTAAACATCGAGTTGGGTGTGTGTGCGGTGCAGTGGAGCGCACATGAGTAGGGGCGGCGAGCGACCGGGCGTCTCGCAGGCCGCGTCATACTGCGGGTGCGGCGGCGGTCGCCAGCGGCGGCAGAGGCGTACGGGGTGCGCGACAGCCGCATACCCGCAGTCAAGCTCCACACCACCACGCCACCACGCCACCACGCCACGCTCCCAACACCAACACCGTACCCACTAACCGCTAATACGCACCATCATTTATTATTGACGTCCGCCCTTGGACTATATTCAAAATCTTTTCTTCTTTGCGCGCTGAGGGTTTAGTAGGTCAATGACTAGGTCCTCTTGTGAATGCAATAAAATAGTAAAAAAGCGATACGCATGTTGAGCTGACGCAGTCAGGTAGGTGTATTAAAATAAATCCTTTATTTTTGTTTACAGTTTAGACAAAGAGTTTTAGATTCATCTACTTCTTATATAGATGCCTTTAACCTAAGGTAACACACGTGATATTTTGACTTACAATAAACATAATTGTTTTTGGTAAAGATACTTGTTGAGGTTACTTAATTTTGTAGAAGACCCAATATTAGTTTAAATAAATAAACATAAGTGTGTTTGATACACATTGTTAACTATATATCTATGTTTTAGGGCATAGGTATAATACACATATTGTGGAAATGGCCCTGTAAAATTTATTCATCACTATTTAATTATACAGTTTTGTATAAATATTGAAGTAATTATAGGTATATTGATATTAGCTATTTAAGATTGTTATAGTTATATAGCTATTTATATAAATAGCTATAAAGCGAGTATTATAACTATATGTACTAGGAGGAACAAAAATTGATCACATACTGATAAAATTTATCCGTGTAGGATGAATCTGTTGCCTTTCTACAACCTTTGTAAAATTGCCATTTCTTATTAGAAGCTTTCTTTTAGTTTCACCTGTGCCGGTGTCTGTAAAAAGAAAAAGTTAACACTTTCGAGAATCCTATATGTTGTTTTACTCATATATAGGTACACACAAGTATAGTAGTATACATGCTTTTCATAACTGAAGTAATTATTGTTTAATTGTAATGAGTCAGCCAGTTTGGACTTATCTCTTTAATTCTATATAAGTAGAAAGAGCGTTATAAAGATAGTACTTTGCGACAATATGTGCACATCTATATAAGAAATAAGTACACAAAGTTATTCTGAGTAGTCATAAATCCGAGCTATGTTACTAAAGAAATAAAAAGAATGTGTTGACTCTGTAGAACAAACAGATTGTATTATTCGTACAGTACGTAATAGCTATATACTCGTACCTGCACCCGAAAATCTTAAGCTTTATTTATTAGCTGAATTTGCTCAAATTCAGCAATTAGGTATATACATATATTATTCAAATATATTTCGGAATACAAATTCTAACGCTAATCATATTGGAGGACATTATTTAATATTGAGTAATTACTATGTCGCTCTGTGAAATTCAAATTTTAGTTTTTTACCTATATTTCTTCTGTTTGATAACAGTAATTGTTTTTATTTATTCTACATTATTCTTTATGATTTATGATATATACCTATAGAAAACCGTGTAACCAAAATGCAATGTATATAGAATTATTAATCTATGATTATAATATTACTCCATCATGAATATAGTACGTATGATAGTATACACAGTCCGCATCCAAATAGAAAAACACATTCTCTCATATGGGTATTCCTCCAACAAAAATAGGTGGATCGATATTTATATATTGGCTTCGTCCCGTTCGCGTATGCAAATTATGTGCACTCGTAAAGGACTACTTGCAATTCCCATATGGAGACCAAACCCAAGAGGTGGAGGGCACCGTCTCAGGGGGACACCGAGTCAGAATCAATTTGGCGCGCACCGTCTACAGAGCAAATTGGTTTCTTATTTGTTGTATAAATACATGTTCATAATATTATTACCTGATGACATTTGTGATTTATGAAATCAGATGTTGATTTTGTTATATTGGTATGCATCGTATCTATACTCATAAGAGTTTATGCTCTTATTAATTGAATTGTAGCTATTTTCAAATTACTATGATACAATTAAAGTAATTTTGTTCATAACTTTTATATTTAACATTTTATATGACGAATAGAATTTTAGAATGCGCTAATGATACATTACTTAAGCATGTATACCAATTTTTATATCTGAAGTTTCAATATCAAACTTTCGTATAAATAAAATAATTTATATGTACATAGGTGTAGTAAATATGTAACTAATTTATATCTGATATTGTGATTTAGATTTATGTGAGAAATATTAATATTGGGGTACTACTATATCAACGTAACAGATGCCAAAAGTTACAATATTTGTCCTGACTGCCATATTAAGATTTAACTAATAAGTGGTGTTAAGAAACTTCAATTAAAAATTTGTGATTCAAATTGGTTTTAAAATAAAAAAGGGTTGGAAATATCTGGCTCAGCAAATTTGTAATAAAAAAAAATAAAAATCGGTCCAATCGTATATAAAATTATTCCATGTATCATCATTAATATTATATGAAATATACTGACAGAAGAATGGACGGATTAATTTGTATTATTAGATTTCTGTTTTCCATTTTAATTAGGAATATCAATCAGTACCTAATAAAATTACACAATAGTAGGTAATATCGTAATGACACTTCGAAAAAATTAATTCAATTTAATTTGATATTTAACTAACGATGACATTCGATATATGCGTTACATAGTTATTATACATTAATTGAATACAGTACTGTATTTTGAAATAATGATCATTTATGCAGATGTAATAACATTCTAGTACATTTAAAAAATTTACCACAATTAGTCTAATCTTTATGTATATATGTATTAGCAGTATTTCATGACAACATGTTATTAATCATTTGCCATGCTAGCGGACTTCTATACCTAATAGGAGTCCGCTAGCATACAAGCCTTTCCAGCCACGGTGCTAGATGAGAAATGTTATTCAAAAGGTAATATTTTGAAATGACTTTACAACGTTATGTCTCTTGCTCCCTTGCTGATTGTTTTAACAATTAGTTGAGTATATATGCATATCGACCTTATATTAGTGTTATTACAATTGAAGTCAATTTTTACGTTTGTTTAAATTTAGTTAAGATGTTTAATTATTCTCATAAATGTATTTAATATAACTAGAAAAGTAACAAAATCCAGGCATTTTGGTAGAAAGATGCGTAAGAAGAGTATACTACTGAATATTTTTATCTGTACCTATGTTACGATATTCTATTTGATTTTGCATTACATATGCACTTATTGTTTACGTATGCACGTTATGCAGCATAGCTGTATACGTAATGCGTCGCCTCCATGAGGCCACCCTGGGGCTGGAACTGGGAAACTGGAAAGAAAGATACATTGTCCCTGGGGTTGTGGCAAATGATCACGCACCCGACACTATTGCGGCGTGGAAGATTGCCACAAGATTTTTAGCTCGTAGTATTATCTCGTCAAACTTAAGAAGCGAGCGCCTCTCCAAGACGCATAAGCTTTACTAAAATCACTGAGCTTACTGAATGCGCACACGCAATGAAAATACTGAATGAACACAGACAAAGCGCAATAATAGTACATCGAACTAATAAATATAATTATTTATTAAGTTCTTTGATTACACCTTTTAATTTGACTGTGTGACGTTGTAACCTCATAACACCTCGTTTATAGTATTAATGTTATTTTGAATTGTAATGGTTATATAGATAAATAATCTTATCGCTGAATGGTTTAGTAGTGTTTATTAGACAGTAGTGTGTGAGCGCTGCGCGCTGTGAACATCTGTACGTTAAAGATTTAAAACAAAATACGCTGAGTCGAGAATAAAGTTGTACGTTCTAAAACTTAAAAACAAACTAAAAAATGGGTGCGAAGGAAATAAATGATGGTAAAAAAAAGGATTATAAAAAAACTAAAGAGAGAAATAAAAGTTCGTCGTCTCTAAAAGCACGGCCAGGGGCATTATCGCGGTTTTTCTTCTGTTGGATGTTGCCTTTATTTTATTATGGGAATCGTCGGGATTTGGAAGAGGATGATTTGGTAAAAGCAAAGGAAATTTATAACTCTAAACGAGTGGGAGACGAATTAGAGAGGTGTGTAAAAATCTTATATTTCAATCTTCTGCATTTATTCTTCTGATATTTTAAGAATTAATTTATACTTTACACATTGAATCTTCTTCTCTTAAAGTATAAAATTATTAGATATTGAATTTATAAATAATATATAATATCAGACTCCAATTTGTTATTTGATTTTGGTACATTAGAAATAGAAATTAGTAAAACATTTGAGATAATTAAAGTTTAATTAATTATTGCTAGTTCGCCACCTTAATGATAGGTATTTTTGGCCTATTTTTTCTTCAAGTTCTGTATAACAAATAGTGTTACTCGAGATTCCAGTATATTCCGTAATTATTTCAATAAAATAATATTATTAATAAATAAAATATATTACAAATATTTTTTTTATTCATCTATAATTACTACTTTTATTTTTTTACATTATTACATTACATACAATTTACATTATTACTGTTTATGAAACATTTTAATAACTGCCTAAAAACATTAATTGCAAAGAATAATGGGCGTTGTATGAAAATATAAGTTTCCAAAAATATATGTTTGTGTACTGAGACAATACACAAATATATATTTTTTGAAGAAACATATTTTTTAGACGAATATGCTCTGAAATCAGGAGCAAAATCGAACCCTAGTGACCCGATAAATTTAAGTCATACATACAAAGGAAAATCCAAAAAAACAAAAATCGGCTCTGGTTTATGACATGAAATCAGAACTTTGAAATTTTTTTCAACATTTAAGTAAATATTAATATAATAACTAAATTGATTAGGATCCTTTTTGGTTAATTTTACAAAATATATGAGTACGAAACTATAGAACCGTAGTTTTAGTGGTACGAAAATATTCATTTTTTAAAAATACAAATAAATTATTATTGTTGTAATAAGTGAATAAGTTAAGTTGATTGAGCAGATTATTTTTATCTTGTTTCCATAATCGATTGCAACCGCATTGAAATAAAAAATATAAACATCAGATATGAAATGTTATTTTTCCATAAATTTAAGATAGTGCTTACATCGCGTAAGGAGCTCTTTGCACGATATTTGAGACCTTTATTAACTCAAGTAAATTTAGCCGTGCATTGATATATCAACAAGTCTGTAATATACAATTGGGTACATTATAGTGACATAGGAAAAGAAGAAAGTCAGTCTAAACGAGTGGATAAATTTTCCGCTTTTTCATAACAATCGGTGACAAAACAAACACTAATAAACTGAAACACTTTAGAACATCGTGCATTAAACATACATATACGACACAGTTCACAGATTACAAAAGTTTTTGGATTTAACTAACACAAAAAATTTATGATAAACAAACCAAATTATTTTGTGAGCCGACGGTAGTCGTACCGTGCTTTGACCTGAACCCAATTTAGGATCATACCCGTAGTTTATTTATGTATATTGGTAAGTTTGTAGTTGAACTGTAATTAAATTCTGATTTCTTAAGATTTTATTTTATTCATTGAACAGGAAGTGGTTAGAAGAAGAACAAAAAGCGAAAATGACTGGCGAGAAGCCTTCTTTTAAGAAAGTTCTCTTCAAAACTTTCTTTTGGTCTTTCCTACCGGGTGGAATTATGCAGTTTTGCTACGTAGCGTTAAGGTATCCCATTTATATTTTTCAATATAACATATTTAGAATTTTATACAATATATGTATATTTATTATATAATAGTAACAAATTATAATAATATAGAATTTGTAAGCATTAATTCGAAATTAATTATTAAAAGGTACAACCTGGTATTCTTCCATTTACCTATAAATGATGACTGTGTATGACTACTGCAAATGGATACAACAGCTGGCACATGCTTGATAATTCACACACGGTACCGCTGTGCAATATTTCAAATATTAATAAACTAGTTTTCCTAGTTTTCACAGCAGTGTACTTAAAATTATGTGTAATATAGTATGTAATATTATCTTATCTGTGCTAATGGTCATACCCGTTTTTTTATATTTAATATATAGGTAAGAAAAAGTTTTCTATACTCTTTGAGGTGGAGGATGACAATGAGCATGAAGTCTGCTCAATTAGCCCATGGTGAATTCACAAAGAACTATCTATAATGGTTTGGACCGCGTGGAGGTCGACTTAGTGCATGCAATGCATATTACCAGTTACTCATGTTATGCAATGCTGAACTGGTAATAAACATAGTAAATCAATAATCGAAGTTACATTTGCAACAGAACAGGAACACCACTACTTTTTGCGCAGCTGCTTTTGTATTGGTCACCGGTTGAAACTATAGACAAGGAGACAGCGACGTACTATGCCATCGGTATGATCCTAGCCAATTGGGTGGCAGCCTTCTTTAATCACCACGGTAATTTATACTGTCAGCAGTTCGGAATGAAACTTCGTGTGGCCACCAGCTCATTAATGTTTAGAAAGGTAATTTCTTCTCGATATAAATATTAAACTTTCCTTATTACGACTGTAAAATGTAATCGTACAACACATAAGACATTAATCACATAGAGCACTTGACATGCATACATATAGTAAACGTATATAATAATTCAGTACATATCCACAAAAAAATAACATTAATCGCAATAAAAAATCGTATTTTCAGGAAAGATTATTCATAGTAGGTACAGTGAAATAAAAGGACCATTTTTATGTGTACTATCCATCATAGAGCTCCATTCGCTTCAGGGGTTGCATGAAATGATACAGCCGGGCTTTAACTGGTTAAAAATCAACATCGCTGTAATGTCGGTACTACGGAATCGGTAGGACTATTGCGACTGCAAGTTGTCCCCTTTGAGCGAGTCTCAACGATCTTCTTCTCTATGGATGTCTCTTCTCAACGACACGCATGGAAGGAACTTTTCTCAGTTCTCCCGGTTACGTCCACTACATTTCCCATATCCGCTTCTTTTGTGTGGTCAGTAAAAGTGTGGAGCCCGCTACGCATCTAAGTCTGCAATGGCAGAGTCACGGTGGAGCCGACCTCCAATACGGTATTAAAAGTAACTACAGGACCAAATTTCAACCCTAGTAGTTACTTTTAAGGGGTTTCTATAATATCTTCGGATATAATTATATTCTAATTGTTATTATATTATTGTTTTCATAGTCGTATATAAATGATCGTATATAAAATATAGGTATCGGTGGAATGTCGCCGTTTCGTTAAAAGTAACAGTGGTTTTAATCGCTTATTTAATTTATGTATATTAATGAAATCAAATTCAATAAAATATAGGACATAATGAGAATTCAATTCTAATAAATACCAATGTGACAAAATGACTTGCATAATACGGAAACCCCTAATGATATTGTGCTACTAATACGTACTTTAACTGTAATATCTATAGTGAATGCAGTTTCAACTTAGTAAAAATTCTAATACATGTTTGGATTAAAATACATTTATGTCTGAGCCTGAAGCCTAATGTAAACTATATAATATTAGGTTATCATATAAAACACGCGACAGTGGCATGAATTTTAGGTATGTATTACAAAATGACTTCATAATCTTAAAATAAAGTATTTCTTTAGATAATGCGCATGAACAATGGGTCGCTTGGTGAGACGACAGCTGGCAAAGTGGTGAACCTGCTTTCTAACGATCTGCAGCGTTTTGACTTGGCTTTCATTTTTTTGCACTACATCTGGATTATCCCGCTGCAGCTGACCGCCGTTTGCTACTTAGGTTATATGCAGGCGGAGTCAGCTGCACTCATAGGATTAGTGGCATTAATTTTAATTGCCGTACCAATTCAAGGTAAGAAATGTTTACGTATATTTAAAATTCTGCCTTATTACGTGTGGATGAAGTGGTGGTGAAGATCTTGTGTGTATGTTTGTTTTTAAATTTCGTTCATATATTATTTATGTATGTGCATTTTATTTTATTACGACCATTTTTTATGATATAATAAAACCTAGATACCTAACTATCTTAAACTACTAACTATTTAAAAAAAAATAGAATCGCATTATGCGTAAAAATCTGAATAATAATGACACATTTATATTTTAAAAATGAATATCCTAATGATTATAAACATACATGGGATAATCAGTAACGTTGTTGACTTTATAATGAACTCTAAAACTATATTAATTATTGTAACTGTAAATATTGTATTGAGTGTGACAGAGGCGCGCTTACCTACATAACTTGTAGTAATTTGGTTTGTTGGACTGGAGACTGGCTGACTGGAGAATTAAATTTAATCATAAAACAAAGTGTTATGATATATGCGAAATTGAGGATGACATTTAAAATCGAAAAAGCAAAACGCCCAGTTACACTGCTAGTATGTAGCCTAATGAATGAAATATGTCATGATTGATAACGTCTATACATGATCAAAAACGTGTACTATATCAATCATAATACGAATACATTAAGTACTGACATGTTAAGTAGGTAACCAATATAAGTACTTGTGACAATCACTAGGATTTCATGCTTGTAATGATATGGTTGATTTAAAATATTATATAGCACGATCATGGAAAGTGATACACGTTGATTTTCTCGTAAACTAAATCAATAGCCATCAGAGAATATATGTCCTCATCATGTATTACTTAGTACCAATTTTAGTCCAAAATCCGAAATATAGTTATTAAGAAAATTACTTTGTAGAAAAATCAACAGGTAAAAAGAGAACTGATTGATTACTGCCACCTAGTAATTATATATTAAGTTGAATTAAGTATTATTTAGAATTATGTGTTAATTTGAGAAAGTCCAGTTTCATTACTGTTATTTTATTTTAAAAATATTGATATTAGTTTAATGTATTAAAATCAACTAGTTATTTAATAATTGTTTTTTATTCTATAAAATATGCATACGTGTTGTGTATTTTCAGGTACTGTTAGTAGAGTACTTGGCAAAGTGCGCATGCGTACTGCCGAAAAGACGGACGAGAGAATAAAGGTGATGAGCGAAGTCATTAACGGAATTCAAGTAAGTATATTTTAATACATTCAAATTTACACAATGAATAATATTTAAAGTGATAGACACAGAAAACATAGTGTATTTCCTTGATAGCGTTTGAGCAGACTTCCTTATTTCCGATCTGACTATATTTACATGAGCCGTTATAATTGTTTACTTTAACTTAAAAGTATGTTCTAAATGTTATATATATAGTTACCAAATATATATATATATATAGATATGTATATCAGTTGTTTAGGAGGAACCCATAGTACCAGTTCTGCTTAGTTTCATAATATTATATATCTTTACACAGTATAAAATGTGCAATGGATTTTAATGTAGTTTTTAGCAATAGATAGACTGATTCAAGATGAAGGTTTATATGTATAATATATGTACATCCGTTGAAAGCCGGGGCGGGTAGCTAGTTTTATATGAAATTTAAAACATATTATAGTGTCGTATCTTATTGTTTTTAATAAACTGTTTAGAATGTTATATACACGAGGGCCACGCGATAACACTATATGTACTTTAGTTAAGGTAATTAAAGTTTATTAGTCATTTGATTAACAAATTATATACACTTATTAAAATAAAGTAAAAATATTGAGTAAAATAAACAATTATCTCTATATGTAAATACACCGATATTATGATCAAGAAAGACATTTAATATTTAACATCTATATCTTATATATCCGGGACCAAATAAAATAACTAATAAATAGATTTAATAAGAATTTGTTTAGGTATACGTATATATAAAACCGGTATCGTTTCCTTCTCATATTTGCATATCACTGTAACCAGTGTTGATAAGAACAATAACAAGAAAACTGCAATTCATTTTGTCAATCTATAAAACATTTAATAGTGAATGATATACATATGTATATATTTTACAATCATTTTATGACAAAGCAAAATTCTTAATCACTTTGTTAATTATTGTACAGGTATTAGCACATTGAACTTGTTTTAACGTTCGTAATGATGAAAATAAAGGCACACATGTAGGTATACACCTAATTTAAGAATACGTCAAGCTATGGCTGTTAATTGAATTATTTTATTTTCCGACAATAATTTTATAGTGGTTAATCTAATTCACATGAAACATAGGCATGTATCATTTATATAATTATATGTACAATCAATTGTAAAGATAAAGAGCAGTTTTTGAATTCAGTCTTTATCAGATAAAACTATTATACTTTCTGAACTCATGGTAGCTCTGACTTGTCATAAATGTCTATAATATGTAGATCTCAATAAATGGGTTTTGATTTTTTTATATGATTTGTACTGATATAATTCTTACTCATAGGTTATCAAAATGTACGCGTGGGAAATTCCATTCCAAAAGGTCGTTAAAGAAAAACGTGGCAATGAAATGAGACAAATAAGTATTGCAACCGCACTTAGAGCAATATTTTTAGGGTTCATGATATTCACAGAGAGAACAGCGCTCTTCATTACAATCCTCACCTTCATACTGCTCGGCAATTCTATGACTGCTAATGTTGTAAGTACTAGTTATAAGTAACGTAGGCTCAATATTAATTAGAATTGTATAACAGTGGTTCTACTCAGAAGAGTCTGCAGTATTTGGCACTAGGTAAAGGAAATTCCGTAAGGAATGCATACTCTGTTATTTAGTTTATTACATACCTACAAGTAATATTCGCTACTAGTAAATTATTTTACTTTACATTTGGATAGCTATACATTTTTTCAACAACACTTGTATAATAGTGTAATACCATAACATACTCATTAGAACAAATTGGTAGAAAACAATGAATATTGTATGAATTTCATAAAATCCGATATATTGAATTTCATTAATTAATAGCCTACATGTAATATAATACAAGTGTAATTGATGTTTGTTTGTATATATCTACATGTGAGATCTATTCATTTATTGACGGTAATAACAACGTATGAGAAATCTATTAATGGAGGAAATAACAAAGTATTACAAACCAAAATAATGATTGTTAGAATTATTGTCTGTTGTCTGGGCGTATTATAATGAATAAATAATATTGTGATTAGCTACATATTAATGTTTTATTCTAATCGATTTACAAACAAAGAATTAAACATATATAAAATTGCGGGCTAACCTACCCCCGGTTATAAATAACTTTTTATAATTCAGTAATTTACCTATTTCCCAACTCGTGTAATTATGGCTTTATATTCGATTTCAAAATATTTTGTTTATTTTAGATATATCCATTGCAACAGTTCATGAACGCAGCTCAAATTAACATAACGTTGATTCTACCCTTGATCTTAGCCTTCACAGCAGAATTGTTTGTCTCCCTCGGACGAGTGCAGAACTTCCTTTTATTAGGTAAGTTAAACATTTAATGTGGATGTTCTTGTTCTTCATATGAAATACTGTCATTCGTATCTAGGTACGGTTGTGATTCTGGGACAGCTAATTGAAATGGACATAATGAATTCAGTCATAATAAGTTACCTATTTTGCTTAAATATAACATAAATATATAAATTCAGAGTTGGTTAGTCAATGTTCTGTAAAGCTGTGAAACAACAAATTGAATAACAAAAATATTCCTCGGACAAAGATTCAACAGTGCATTGAACATTATTATTAAGAAACATATAGAGGCGACAGCGTAATAGGGATGCGTTGCCAAAACAAGACTTTTTCTGATTTACAGAAGACCGTCCCGACTTGGTGGCGAGCCATGCGACCCCAATACCGAACATATTCCGCAACACTGCCAGCTCTAGTGAAAAAGATAAGTGTGTCAGGCCACTCTCATACCGCACAAATTCGAATGCCTCATCTGCTAAACGTAAGTATAAATCTGTCTAAATGCATATAGGAATACTATACTGTCAATCAATTATATTATATTTTAGATCAACATTCATAAAATTATAATCGGACTTCACTTGGTAAAAGTTATATATATGAGTTTGTCATAAAAAAATACCTATGTTATTGTATAATACCTCTTAAAATAGTTGTCTTAGTTACAGTACTAGTCATTTAGTTATCTGCTTATTCATTAACGAACAGATTTGACTTACGTGTGAGAATTTAATGTAATACTTAGTAGTTTTTAAAAAAATCAAAACTGTTAGCAATTAATGATAAATAATTTTGTAAGGTGTTCTCGATGCATGCGTTGCGGTGCGGTATTTTCCTAATGATAACAATATGAGAGAAGTAATGCGTCTCATTCCACCGCACCATATCTCACCGCATCCCAACGCATGCGTGACGTACGAAGTAATGAGATTAAATTATCTATCATATTATAATATCTTTGTTATCCATTGATTTAAAAATATAAATACAAATAATATCTGTCTTTCTATTAAAATTTATTATTAATCATAATTATTACCACATTAGGTTTGAGCTTGGAACCGAAATTTGTAAGAAGCATATCACAACCAGGGCCCGACATTGCAGTGGAGGTGCGCGATGTCTCTGCCAGTTGGACCGGGGACCCCAACTTTTTGGCTCTCAAAAATATCTCTCTAAGGGTGCGAAAGGGCAAGCTGTGTGCTATTATTGGAGCTGTTGGCTCGGGAAAAGTACGTTCGTATTAGTGCTAAATCGTTCTTCAGATTAGCGAATACAATTTATTATCACGTCATATTTCATTGAGGTTAATTCGCTTAGTTATGAAATACTTTACATATTATTGTTTTGGTAAAGAACTCGAAGTTTAATACACATGCAATTTTTTAGTAATAAGTATATACTATAGTATAAGTACAGGAGCCAACAGAATATTCGCGCTGCAGATTTATCTGTAGCATTATGCTGAGTAAACTGCCTTTTCACCTTTGCGGCACATAAAGTCACCTACGTTTCTTTAATTAATTGTTTTTTTTCTGTATTTCGTGTTATATATCTGTAATTGTTGAATAATGAATTTATTTATCTAAATAGTAACAAACAGATAGACATACATTCATATTGATAATATTAGTGTATAATTATGAATCAGTGTGTAAAAATTAAAACATTAAATATGCCAAAGAAGTAATGTAATAGAAAGTAAAAAATTTGAATAAAAATTAATTATTAAATGAATGTTCGCACCTGCGAAAGATCTCAGACGTGTTAGGGTCTAAGTTCATAATTTGAAGTTAATTACCCCTGCAGGGATAAAACTGCTATTCTGCAGAGGTAATATTTGAAATGAATACATAATAATATAACAGTTGAATACCACTGGCAATAGTTGACTGTTGTGGCGAAGTAACCTTCGGCGTACTAACATTTCTGAGCATATTTTTTTTACTGCGTCAGTATCTGTCAAATAATTTGGTACTTTACCAATTTTTACTATTACCGGCTACATTTTAAACGAATTAACGATTACTAGTTCAATATTAAGAATGGTGGATGAATAATTTCAATCCAATTAATAAACATACATAAATTTTGTCAGATTTTTGTGAATGTCGATGGAATACTAGAATTATCTCACCTGTGGTGCTGAAATACCCTAACGGAACCAATGTAGTGATGACGTCAAGTCTGATGATTCAATGTAGCTTAATCGCCATGAATTAACCACGAAATCCTCATGGTGAAATCATCAATGATTTTTGTGTGAATAAGGGTATATTAGTTCTGATATTATAGCAAAGGGGTCAAGAGAAAACTACTGGCTCCTAGTGGCTACTACTGTAGTAATTGTAGACAATCTAAAATTGTGTAATAAGTTACCTATAAAAATTATCTTTTTTTTGTAATTTAATCTTTGTTTTTTATAGTCGTCTCTTCTCCAACTGCTACTAAAAGAATTGCCAGCGGCCACCGGCAATGTTTCAACACAGGGCAGCCTCTCGTACGCCTGTCAGGAACCGTGGCTCTTTCCTAGCACGGTCCGAGAGAACATTTTATTTGGACTTCCTTACGATCAGGCTAAGTATAGAAAGGTATGCAAGGGAAAATTAACATTTACTTTAGAGATTATATTTAAGTATTTTGTTTAGAATAATATGAACAGCATTTGTATTTCGATTTTATGATATACCTATGTATAAAGAAATAAATAAGATTTCCCTTATACAGGACAAAATTATGATAAAAAAAAATAAACAAAATTTTAATATATCGATATTATTTTATTATTATAATAGGTATACATCTCAATTTGTAGTTAATAGGAATCCTATATAATAATATAATATCCTATAAATATGTATAGGTATGTATCTATAATATTTATTAAATATTTAACTGGTCTCACTGTATATGAGATAAACTGTTAATGGGGATTTTATCAAGGTAGTAGCTAAATCAAAAACAAAACGAGTATTTTCTTTTTTTATCTAATTGTCTGTTCGTACTAATCAGAAACGGCTTAATCGTATTGTAATTCGTTTTCAGTAATGTATTATGATAAACTTCACTTATAATTTTGTTTTGTTTTATTTCAATTGGTTTATAAGCAAGAAAGTTATAAACTCGATAATTAATATCTTTTACCTATTGCTTCTAAACCAATAGTTATAAATCTATGTTCCAAATATCGCACGCTCGGTAAATTGTGAATATACGTATAAGATTTCTTTATTCTTAATATTTTAAAAATAAAGAAATCTTAATTATTTAGTAGGTTTATTTGTTTCCTTTTAAGATATACAAAGACCAATTTTAGTTTCTATAAATATTTTACATCTAACACCTATGTTGAACAGGTCTGCCGAGTATGCACTCTGGAGAAGGACTTTTTACAGTTTCCCTACGGAGACCAGACATTGGTGGGTGAGAGGGGAGTGTCCCTGTCAGGGGGGCAGCGCGCCAGAATCACTTTAGCGCGTTCCATCTATAGAGAAGTATGTCATAATTTTTTTTAAATTATATTATTGCATATGCCATTTTTTTTTAAGTATAAATGACAATTTTCACCGTGTAGACTTTGTAAAAGGTGGTCTCTCTATTTCGACCGCCAATCAGCTTGTTTTGTAAGTTGTGTTTCGGTTTCGGATGAGATAAGGCAGTGAAATTACAGGAGAAGAGGCGAAGAGAGGAGGAGTTGTCATCACGAGCGTCCTATTATAATGTGATGAGGTATATAAAGGATGGTTACCCTTAACCATGAACTTGGCCATTCCAATTTCATAAAAAAATATTAGAATAACGAGTCTTTGTGTTTTTTCTAATTAATGAGGTTTTAGGAGAATGTATTTTTTAAAATTCTTTATTAATTTAGGGACTTATGTGTATTTTCACCGAGGTGGAATGTCTGTTCCATTGTACTTTAATGTTGAATAAAAACAAAAAATACGTATTTAGTCAAAAAACAAAAGAATAACTAAACAATATAAGTGTCCTTAAAACGAAAAAGAATGTAATTTTAAATCATATTTTATATGTAGGCTGATATATATCTGCTGGATGACCCGTTATCAGCAGTGGATGCAAACGTGGGGCGGCTCCTGTTCGAGGGTTGCATCAACGGTTACCTGCGCGGGCGGACGCGCATCCTCGTCACGCATCAGATACATTTTCTCAAAGCGGCAGATTATATCATCGTGCTGAATGAGGTTGGTTTGAAAAATTAAAGTCTAACATCCTTACAGATAATTATTCCATTTATGGCGTTTTGATCAATAGCCACTTACTTTATTTCATGAAAATAGAAGAGAAAGTACTAACTTTTATTTTATTTGCAAATATATATTTATTACGCAAATATTAGCTTCATAATTATGTCGCGATAATAAAATAATAATCAGTCATATTTTAACCTACTTGTTTTTATGTTATGAAAACTACCAACAATATAATATATACATAAATAAATTCGCGCATAGACAAAGATTTTAACGAAAACCTTTATTCCAATTTCAAATATTGTATTGAAAAAAATGTACAGCTGTTACGTAACTGACACTGGCAAGCAATCATAAATATTCTAAAAGCAATATAAAGAAAAAAATATACACTACATTTTATGAGAGTTGGCACCGCTTTTATGAGAATTGATCCAAAATTCTATCTACATAATAACATGTAATGCTTCGAAAAAATAGTTATGTATATAATAGTAATTGATTTAATTCAGGCGAGCTCGCAAATCTGGAATTAACCTAAAAAACTGTATTGATGCAAACATTCGATGAATTTTGAATAAAAAATGTTATATATACATATTTATACAAAATATATTTTGTTCCCAGCGACGCAGGCTTAAATACTAGTATAAATTGCTCGTGTTTGTGCATTTTTTTTTGTTATATGTTAATTGTACAGATGAGGTCAGATAAAAAGTGTACTTTAGTAGTTGATAAATTATCTCCTATCCGACGAATTCACATATAAATAAACCTATATCTAAAAACATTATCTTGATATTAGCAGTAGGTACCTATTCCGTTGTCTTATAAATTACTAGCTGTAACCGCGACTTTGCCTGCGTGGAATTTGACAAAAAGTTAATTAGATAATTTTTCTAAAATTGTAGCAGCTTAAGTTACTCCTTATTACATCAGCTACGTCTCGTCAAAATCGATCCAGCCATTTCAGAGATTAGCCGGAACAAACAGACAGAAATTGTAAAAAATGTTATTTTGGTATATGTGCCGTATTTATATTCATTACATTAGTAAAAAACGGTAATTTCAATATTACAAACGGACAATCCAATCTTATTTATATGTATATGGTATCTACCATATACTATCTATACATCTGTATAGATTAAGTTTTATAAGTCACTAGTTATAACTGTTGCGATGTGATTATCGCAGGTACTGAACGATGAACAAAGAATTTTACTCAATTGAATCATAAAATAAATAGTGCTGTTTCTTGATTAAACGTAGTTATCTAAAATAAATCAATAATGTGTAACATCTTGAAAACATGTACTTATAAAACGAAAATACAGACCAATGTTTGAATTCTGTCAGTTTTCTATTTCTCGGTTTGATTTTAATATAAAAGAGACGGATGCCATTAGGTTAGAAAGATGATTATTCTAATGTGATGATGCAAACATATAAGTATTATGTTTTTCGTTAAACGGCCCGATGAACTTCATTTTATCCACAATTTATTTTGCTATGACGTATGATCAGAAATACAAAATATCTTTATTCATGTAGGTCTATTACAGACTTATAATATGCTAAATCTACCGTCAGTTCGGAGTGTTTTTAATATGAGAACTGACAAGAAACTCAGCTCGTATTCTTTTCAAATATGGTCGTACATGAGATCGCAGATAAGATGGCAATGCCTAACTGCAAAATTTGAATTTCTTTTTGAACTTTTCATCTTTTGTTTTATTACTGGATATTTCACCATCTTTTACAGTTCTACCCTTACGTTGAGTTGAGTCTTTATAGATATTATAATTAGGCCGTTTAAATTTTTATTTATCTTCCACATACTTATAGTTTTATTTGACAGATATACTTTATATACATATAATCTATTGGTTACCTTTTCTAAATATTCCAGTCAAGATATACACTGGAGCACTGAAAAATATTCTATAATACCAATAAATCTGACAGCAAAAAGTTTAATATAAATATTATTTTAAATGAAATTAAAAAGAAGTAATGGAGAATACACGCCCGCCGACTTATTATATTATTATTAATAAAATATCCGAAGAACAGTTTTTTTGTGCACCGTTTTTATGCATTAAATAATTATTTATATCGCGTTATAAAACACTTTTAGAAAATTACGTAACATAATAATAATCATTATCTTAGTCTGTGTTTACTGTTAATATGTACAAAACGATATTTTATTAATATTTGTTGCCGCGCTGTAGAGAGTATACAAGTTTGTGAAAGTATGCCCTGTAGGTTAAGTTCTCGCGAATTTTCACTATTTATGCGCTTCATCAATTAAATCTATCTATAATTTTTATATGATAAATAAAAAGTAATGGTTGTAATTCTATAGAATAATAAAAACTTCATTATTCTTCCTAAAAACTGTTTATAAAGAAATTTCATTTTTTTATATTGTTAGACTTTTGTTATTGTTCTTAGATCGTCTAATAAGAATACACTAACGCGCTTTTTATTAAAATTAATCCGAAATAGGGATTCCTATACTCGATATGTCACCGAGTATCTCGATGACATACTGAGACGTTTATCTAATCGATATGCTTACTTTGGATATACATAATAGGTATGTCATTATTGAGAATTAAATTAATATCAATTTTATTCATCCTGTCTAGCAACTTACACGTGATTCGTTTTTTGTTTTATCTTGATAGCATTTATGAGACGGATAAGATTTTGATTAGAATATAGGATATGCAAGTCTTATAATTTTGATTAGATAACATCCAGCTGACAACAGAGTAAAACTTTGAACTGATAGACTTCTTAATCTGAAAACAATCTTAACAGTTTATTGACAAGTTGCTAACTTATATAGTATCTATATTAAAAGTAAAAATTAAAACAGATCGGTCCAATAGGCGAATCAGTTATCCGAGGCTTGCCAGGTTAGTAATACTGTGGTAGGAATACGTATCAAATTGCATTATGCTTGAAGGCAGTATTATGCATTACTGTTTGATATCAGTGAACCTTCGTGTTCCTATATTGCAGTAGGAATATATTTAATACTAGCTGTACATGCTTCTGACTTCGTTCGCGTGGAATTAAATTCATTTTTCTAAAATAAAGGTAGCCTAAGATATATCTTATTCCATCAGCTACCTGCCAATAAAAGTTCCGTCAAAATCGGTCCAGCCATTTCAGAGAATAGCCGGACAAACAGACAGACAGACAGACAAAAATAGTAAAAAATGATATTTTGGTGTATATATCGTATTTATAATAATATGCATGTAGTAAACGGTTATTTCAATATTACAAACAGACACTCCAATTTTATTTATATGTATAGATAAGAATACTAAATATAATAAACAAGAGCATAACATGCATTGTTATACAACTCTAAGACAAATTGTTTCTGAAAAAGCTGTATACTCGGCATACCATGGCTATGTTGCTTCACAAATACGCTATGGGTTGATACTGTGGGGTAACTCGGTTAATGCTATAAACATTTTTAGAGCACAAAAGAATTGTATCAGAGCGTTGTGTGGGGCGTATTTTTTAGACAGCTGTAAACCACTGTTTAAACAAAAAATATTTTACCACTATCATGTCTATATATATTTGAAATATGTTTAATTGTAAAAAGAAATATTGATATGTTCGAAATTAATTCTAAAAATCGAAGATTAAGAATACAAAATAAATTCATAATACCGACGCAGAGACTTCACATGTTTCAAAGAAATTGTTATTGCATGGCCATTAAATTATACAATAAATTGTCTGATAGTGTAAAAATATTACCATACGCTCAATTTAAAGCGAAATTGTTTAAATATTTCATTAATAATTGTTTTTATTCTGTAGAAGATTTTATATCTACCTGTAATTTGTGAGAATTTTATATATTTATCTGATATCTATTCATCATCATCATTATCATCGCAGCCCGGAAGACGTCCACTGCTGGACATAGGCCTCCCCCAAAGATCTCCACGACGATCGGTCCTGCGCTGCTCGTATCCAATGCCTTCTTCCCCAGCGATCTTGACCAGATCGTCGGTCCACCTTGCTGGAGACCTTCCCACGCTGCGTCTTCCGGTTCGTGGTCGCCACTCGAGGACTTTACTGCCCCAACGGCCATCTGTCCTACGAGCTATGTGCCCTGCCCATTGCCACTTCAGAGTCGCAATTCTTCGGGCTATGTCGGTCACACTGGTTCTTCTGCGGATCTCCTCATTTCTGATTCGATTACGCAGAGTAACTCCGAGCATAGCCCTCTCCATTGCCCTCTGAGTGACTCTGAGCTTGTTGATGGAGCCCATAGTTAGCGACCACGTCTCTGTTCCGTAAGTCATCACTGGCAACACACATTGGTCGTAAACCTTCGTCTTGAGACACTGCGGAAATTTGGACGAAAAGATATATCGGAGCTTCCCGAACGCTGCCCATCCGAGTTGGATTCGACGATTGACCTCTTTCTCAAAATTGGATCTACCTAACTGGATAGTTTGCCCTAAGTATACGTAGTGATCGACAATTTAGAGTGTAGAATCTTTTACGGGAGCAGGTACGACATGGATGTTTGACATAATTTTCGTCTTGTCCATGTTCATTTTAAGACCCACTCCTTGTGAGACTCTACTGAGGTTTTCGAGCATTTTGCTAAGGTCTTCCAGGGTCTCAGCCATGACCACGATATCGTCGGCAAATCGAAGGTGATTGATGTACTCGCCGTTAATGTTGATGCCAAGCCCGCTCCAGTCCAGAAGCTTGAAGACATCTTCCAACGCAGCAGTAAACAGCTTTGGCGATATGACATCGCCTTGTTCTCGCTGCAGTTGGATAGGCTTCGAATTCAGGTCGTGGAGGCGAACTGACATAGTGGCGTTTTCATACAAACATTTCAACGCTTCGATATATCGATAGTCAATTTGGCACCTTTGGAGAGACTGTAGCACAGCCCACGTCTCGATCGAATCAAAGGCTTTTTAATAGTCCACAAACGCCAAGCAAAGTGGCAGGTTGTATTCTTCGGTCTTCTGAATTACCTGCCGCAGCGTATGAATGTGGTCTATGGTACTGAAGCCTTTTCGGAACCTGGCTTGTTCGGGAGGCTGGAAGTCGTCAAACCTGCGCGCGAGACGATTCGTGATGACTCTCGAAAACAACTTATAAACATGGCTCAGCAGTGTTACGGGTCTGAAATTCTTCAGAAGCGATATCTTCGGTATAGTGTCGGGTTAATTTGGCTCTAGGGTCTTTCGCTGTGTTGTTAACAGGTGCCCGTGTTGTCGTGTATAACTGTCCATAGAACTTCTCAATTTCCCTCAAAAGTTCGGGTTTAGACGATATGATCCTGCCGTCATCCGTCTTAAGTCGCGTCAGCTGGCTCTGTCCGGCAGCCAGATCCCTGTTAAAGACTTTTGAGCCCTTGTTTCTCTCAATAGCCTCCTTTACACAATATGTGTTAAAGTGGCGTAAGTCCTCGTGACTTACGCCACTTTAACACAAGGACTTAGAGATCTGCCTGCTAAGTTACCGATACTGGGAAGCGTCAGTCGGAGACTGCAGGACCATACTTCGCCTTTCATCCATCAGTTTGAGGGTAGAGATTTTTCCGGTTCTTTCTGCGCGGTTTTGAAGTGCTTGGACCCAGCCGCACGGACAGTTTCTACGAACCTTTTGTTGTAATCATCCACGTCAACGCAGTCACCAAGGCATTCGAAATGGTTTTGCAATTCTATCTGAAAGCTTTCTGGGTTTTGGATCTGTATAGGTGTAGGGCGGAGCGTAGATTTCATCAGTCGGGATCGTTCGAGTTTCAGATTCAGATTCAATGTGCCTCTTACAATCCGGTGATCACTTCCAATTTTGACGGCATTGATCACAGAGACATCATTGAAAATCTGTCTTCTCGTTAACAAGATGAAATCTATCTCGTTTTTGGTGGCACCATCGGGACTAATCCACGTCCATTTCCGGTGTTCCGGCTTCCTGAAGAAGGAGTTCATCATAAAGAGGCTCTCCTTCTCCATGAAGTCGGCCAGCATTTGACCTCGGAAGTTCCGATCACCGATACCAAATTGCCCCACTCAGCTCATCACCGCTTCGTTTGTCCAATTTTGCGTTAAAGTCCCCCATGATAACGTTGTAATGAGTTTTTGTCCTATGTATGGCTCTGGATATATCCTCATACATAGCCTCAACCTCATCGTCGGAGTGCGTCGAAGTTGGAGCGTACACTTGGATGACCTTCAACGAATACCGTTTGGTAATTCTGAGTATCAGGTACGCTACCCTGTCGACACGCTCTCGACCTTGATAACATTATTCACAAGGGACCTGTGGACGAGGAACCCGATACCGCCTTGGGACAGTTGATCGCCCTCCCGGAAGTAAAGCAGATTGCTGGATTTCAGGATTATCGAGTCCTCCCCCTTTCTTCGGACTTCAGATAATCCCACGACATGCCAGTGCAATCTGCTCAACTCTTTCTCCAGTTCACTTTTAACTTTTCTTCGGTCCACAGTGTTTGAACGTTGTATGTTGCCAGGGCCAGTGGTCGTCGTTTGTGGTAGCCTGGTCTTACACGGAGATTCTTCCCACCCCCTGCCTCGCCGTTTCCATGACCATTACCATGGTCAAGACTAGCGGGGCCGCCGGGGACTGGGGGCCGGGGCCTTGGGTGTAAATCCATTTGGGGGGATATGCCATAATCGCCACGCTTGGCATGCGGGTTGGCGATCGCAGTATGATGGTATTTACTCAGTAGAACGCTGCTGCCCGTCCACTGGTCGATGAATCCCTTAGTCGCCTTTTACGACACCCACGAGAAGAGAGGGGGTGGTGCTATTCTTACAGCGACACCACACGCCAATATCTAATATCTATTAATCTAATTAAATTAAAATTTATTTATATTGGTAGTGGTTTAAACAATGTTATGGTTTTAAATAATTTACACATCTTGAATGGTAAATATTGCTGAACACCTTATTAATTGTTGTGTAAGATCTGCTCTATGCAATTACCAGTATTTTGTAAATAAACATTCATTTCATTTCATTTCGCTACACGACTGCCCAAATCCAGTAATATTCATATTTTTCTAAGCAGTCGTTTGCGTGGGTACCTCAGTTTCACCAATTTCAGTCGCCTAGCAACTCGTTTGTATATGTTTCAGTTGAAGACAGAAATAAGGCAGTAAAATTACATGATATGGAAGTATGAAGATATGACACCTTGGTGTTCCCAAATGACAACGCATGTGTGAGTGGTTAAAGATTGCACTGTTTGTATTTCTCTTATACTTTGACAACTTAACTCTTCCTAGGAATTCCTTATAAAATAATAAATAGATACCTACTAGTCGATAAAACAATACCTTCACATAAATAATAAAGTGAGTAACACTGAAGAAAACCGTGGCGCAAATATCAGGGTCATTTTCAATGACCACTGGCTTACGGCTTACTTATTACGACTGCCATTGTGTACTGTGATATTTTTGTTCAGGGTCGTGTAGAAAATATGGGCACTTTTGACGAGCTCGTATCTTCTGGAAAGGAATTTGCTACGATGCTGACTAGTTTACAAGAAGGCAAGGACAAAGACTCAGAGAGTGTGGGATCTGCAGCGGTAATAAATTATTATCTTCATTAATTAATTCATTCATAATTTAAGAGCTACGTTCTTGTCGCTTAATTAATAAATAATGATAATAATGTATTGACTAATCGTCGTGTATCTTTTGCATTCTACAAACAAGATAAGTTAATACCCATACTCACGTGTGTTTTGTATTGTCATATATAGTTATCACGGCCGATTATGCAACAATTATTTTGTATCATATGGAATATTTATTATCATATGGGATACCTAACTACAAAATATCTGGATAATGCTCAGTTACACTCATATTTTTTTCAGAGTGTAGAAGACAAACCAACTTTAGTAAGAAGTCAATCATCTGCTAACGAAGAGGGAGAAAATTTACCTCAATTTGAAGTACAGAAAATTGCAGCAGAAGAAAGACAATCAGGCAATTTGCGATGGGAGGTGATAGCAGCGTACTTTCGTGCAGGCGGAAGCAACTTTTTCGTTATATTTACGATTTTAATGATTGCATTGGCAGCAGCGAGTGCCGCAGGTGCAGACTTCTGGGTCAGCTACTGGTTAGTTACTATTTCTCTATCTACCTTTACTTGAGAACATATTCGAGCTAAGTCTTCTGTTCTTACATAAAAATATCTAACGCTTACCTTAATCACTTTCCTAAGCTAATCTAGGCATCATCAGGTATCTGGTGGATTTATTAGTTATTTTGATAATAAGTTATACAATTATGTGCAAACGAACATTTCTATAGAAATGATTCCGAGTGAATCAGAGTTCTTATACGATGTCATATCTGTCGGCAGTCTTTATATATATATTTCTATTTTCTATTTAGGTACTTTAAAAAACTTAAGCATTAATTTTACTATTTCGACCATTCATTGTATCATTAACCCTTTTATAAAACACTTTGAAATCACATTGTATGAGTTATGTATAATTTTTGTTACCTAATTAAAAATGCTCATCTTAATTTAAATAGCTTATTCAAGAATTTAAAATATAAACTGAAAGTTTGGAAACTGAAAATTGTGTTTATTTATGGGGTGAACATATGAAGGGATTGTGATCTGTTTTAATTTGATAATATGATGAATACTTTTATAAAGTCCGAGTTACCTAGTTACAATTTTATTAATCATGTTATATTTCCGTTCAAGGTCGAATCAAATGGCTATATACGAAGAGGAATTATCCGGTGCTGATATGGGTACGTATCTGTCTTTCATTTTCGATAAATCATATCAATAAATAAATATGATATTATAATGGAATATTATGAATAAAATGATAAGTTCTATCACTACTCACTACATGCGTAATATTTACAAGAAATTAGATTAATTTGTTTTTTAATATTAGTGGTCATAAGGGCCATTTTATGTAGAACGTTATAATTATTTGTAAGTACCTAGTTAGGTACTTACAAATAATTATAACGTTCTACATCAGTTGCAACAGCAGTTGCTGTTTGAATATATATTTGTAATTTAAAGGAAAAGGTATTTTTTTAACTTCTTGAAATTGTGTTGCAATTATGAAAACACAATTTGAAGATAAAAAAGAATATCTGAGATTTGCTTACTTTATTTAACTCTACTTTAAGACTGTAAATTGAAACAACAAATAATATTAGAAACGATAGCAGTTTTTAGTTTGATCATGATAATTAAATCTACCAATAATAGTTTGTCGCTTCTATTCCATGTATAGACAGAGATAGTTACATTTTTATCATATGCATACTTGTGTGTATATATAAATATAAATTAAATATTTCTATGTTAATTGACAGATCCTGCATTAGATGTGCAAGTAGGAAAGTTCACTACAGGCCAATACCTGATTATTCACGGATGCATTATTATCATGTGTATATTACTCACGAATCTGAGAGTTCTTCCTTTTGTCAGACTTTGTGTATCAGCTTCCAAAAAGCTACACGATTTAATGTTCTCCACAATGATTAAAGGCATCATGAGATTTTTCGACACAAGCTCTGCAGGTTTGTTGAATTTTGTGTTGTATTTTCAATATAATATTTTAATGTTAACATTTATTAGCTTTGAAGTATTTGCAAAATACCTAGATATCTTTGATGATATAAATAAATATGTGACATTGATGACTAGTATAAAAATATAATTGTAAAAGTACATTGTCTTTCCAGGTCGAATTTTAAATCGTTTTACAAAAGATATGGGTGCCCTGGATGAAATCTTGCCTAGAACTCTCTTGGACGTATTTCAAATTTATAGCAATTTGACTGCAGTTTTGGTATTGAACGCGATAGCTCTATATTGGACTCTGGTCCCATCTGCGGTTTTGCTCATCCTGTTCTTTTTGTTCGTAAAAATTTATCTGAAAACGGCACAAGGAGTGAAGAGACTCGAAGGCACAAGTGAGTAGCAACTTATAGTAAATATCAATAAATATAATATAATAAATATATCAATAAAACTATCTTAGCATGTAATGAAAAGTCCTGAATAGGTTGACCATAAATAAAATTACCTAATCTAATTTATTCTTTACATATATTGTACTTATTTGTCTTATTACATTATTTTTAATTATATGAATTGACGAATTAATAATTTTGAAATGCATTTGTCATTTCAGCAAAAAGTCCAGTATTCGGCATGGTCACGTCTTCCTTGAACGGTATAGCTACAATCAGATCATTTGGTGCACAGAACAGGCTTATTGAACAATTTGATGAACATCAGGTATAATTTTGCATATAGAATTCTTCAAAGTCATGAATGTTTGCATTAAGAAGGACTGTTTGTCGTTTTAATTCTGTTTGAATGTCCTTTAGCAAGTGTTCACGTCACTAAAGGAACTGTTACTTTCTGCATAGACTTTGACACCGATAAATAATTATAATCACATAATCAGTGTGACTCGTTTTATTATAATAGTAACCATTTGTTGACTCAAATTATCATTTATTGTTTTCATAGGGAATTATAACTATTTGAGTCATGGAATTTCCGCTATTCGCTTTAGAGACATCCGCTAGAGGGAAAACAATTGTAATCTAAGATAAATTATATTATTTATTTACTAATTTACTTAAGATTTATCTAAAAATACTATATCGTTTTATAAGCAAAAGAAAAGTTTAACAACCATTATTATCTTCTTAAGCGTATTTTGTTTTTGCCATTATTATTACTACTTAACCATCATTATTTAGCACCATCAATCTTAACCATCATAAGGCAATGACAAGGCGGGTCACCAGAATAAAAAATTTATTAGAATCCAAGTTAAATTAAGCACCTTAACGATTTTTGTCATCATATAAAACCTGTGTTAAATTAATGATCGCTGACTTAATTGGACATAGCGAGATATAATTCCATGCTTTTGGATTTAACTGTGACTATTTAGATTCTGAATAATTTTAACAGTAATATTGTTTTATTAGGACTTGCATACATCTGCATGGAATGGATATTTGGGTGGTGGCAGCGCATTCGGATTTTATTTGGACACCATGTGTTTGGTGTACCTTACCTGCATCATATTCGCTTTTCTTTATCTTGATTTTGGTAAGTTGCTGTTACATATTTAGCGTCTATATTGTTACCGCTATTATTTATGTTATGTTCAGCTGGTACTGGCAGCGACAGGAGGAGGAAGATTAAATAACGAGTCCAGTGGTGGCTATGTATAAATGTAATATTCTTGTGGTATTTACAATAGTTGTATGGTTTTATTATATATATAAAAACGTATAATTAACGTATCTGAAAAGAAGCGATTGTGTCCCAATCTGACAAGCTTGTTATATTGTTGGTGACACTGGCACATCACTACTCACTCGATCGCCGCTTTAAGATGAAAAATATATATTGTCAAAAAAACTATATAGTACATTCGTAATATTATATTAACAAAATAAACTATTTATACTAAACAAGTCGTTTTTCCATCGACCAAGTACATCAAATGGTAGCAGAGCGTATGGTAAGAAAATTCGACAAAGTTATGAAATAAATAGAAAAATATAATATAAAAAATGGCAACGTATAGAATCGAACCATTACATAAAAACAATTATGATACATGGTGTCTCCAGGCACAAGCAGTGCTTATAAAAGCCGATTTATGGGAATATGTTAGTGGACAAATTTCCCTAGAAATAGATGCATGTCCCCAAACTATCGCAGCATTTCAAAAATCCGATATGATGGCAAAATCGGAAATATTATTACTAATATCTCCATCAGAATTAAAACAAATAAAAACATGTAAGACATCAAAAGAGATTTGGGATAAACTGAAATCATCTTATCAAAGTTCAGGTCCCGCTAGAAAAGCAACCCTCCTAAAAAAATTAGTTTTACAAAAAATGGACTCTCAAAGCGATATTCGCGATCATTTGAATGAATTCCTAGACATAGTCGATAAACTAGCCGATATGGAAGTCAAAATACATCCAGAACTATTGAGTATTATGATGTTATACAGCCTTCCTAGTGCATATGAAAACTTTAGAATTGCAATAGAATCTAGGGATACATTACCAAATCCGGAAGACTTAAAAGTAAAAATACTCGAAGAAGGTGAAGCTAGAAAACAAGTTAACAAACCAGAGAGATCCGATGGAGCATTTTACAGCAGAAATAATAAAAATCTGAAACAAATAAAATGTGAAAACTGTAACAAAAAGGGCCATTCCACTGAAAGCTGCTGGAGCAAGAAAAAGTACAATAAATATAATAAAAGTAGTAATTATAATAAAGACAAAAAATCAGAAAAAACATTAAATGTATGTTTATCACTTTGTAAAGAAAACATTGATACAGATTCTTGGGTATTGGACAGTGGATGCACATCACACATTACCTATCAAAAAGAAAAATTTACAAACCTATCATCAGAAACTGGATTGCTAAAGTTGGCATCTAAGTTTCACACCGCTAACGTAAAAGGTAAAGGAAAAGTAACAATTAAGGTAGATGGTGATAAATGTAATCTCGCTGACACATTATATGTACCTGATATATCTGAAAACTTAATATCCGTTAGTAAGATCACTGATAAAGGTAATTCTGTATTATTTACAAAGAAAAAGGCATTAATAAAAAACAATGAAGGTGATATACTACTTACTGCTGAAAAATATAATGGATTATATTATGTAAAATGTGACAAAAATAACACAGCTTATGCAATAAAAAATGAAAAGAATGCTATGTGGCACCAGAAACTAGGTCACTTAAATGAAAATGATATGAAAGTTTTACACAAAGAAAATTTGATAAGAGGTATACAATTGACAAATGGAAAACTAGACCCGTGTGAAACATGTATAAAAGGAAAGCTGACCAGGCTACCATTCCAAAGTCATGAAGCTATAAAAACAAATGAACCTCTACAAATAATACACTCGGATGTTTGTGGGCCTATGCCACATGAATCATTGGCTGGTTCCAGATACTTTGTGACATTTATTGATGATTATACTAGATATTGTTGCATATATTTCTTAAAACAAAAAAATGAAGTATTAGAAATATTTAAAGAATATAAAAATAAAGTAGAAAACTTTTGGAATAAAAAGATCAAATCATTACAATCCGATAACGGAACAGAATATTGTGGAAAAGAATTTGAACAATTCTTAAAAGATAATGGCATCGTGAGACGACTCTCGACACCATATACGCCACAACAAAATGGAGTAAGCGAAAGAAAAAATAGATCTCTACTCGATAAAGCCCGTTGCATGATTATAGCATCAAAAGTTCCTAATTCGTTATGGGCAGAAGCTATTTTCACAGCGAACTATCTTATAAATAGAAGTCCTTCTAAAGCCTTACAACAAGAAACACCGTTTATGAAATGGATGGGACGAGTACCGTCAGCAAATCATTTACGCATTTTTGGTACAAAAGCTTTTGTTCTGATAAAGAAACGAAGGGGAAAGTTCTCACCGAAAGCAATTGAAGGAGTATTTGTTGGATACGCTAAAAGTTCAAGAGGCTACAGAATTTACATACCAAATAAAAATGAAGTAAATATTAGTAGAGATGTAAAATTCATAAATAGAATGTACTATGAAAGTGAAACAAGTGATGACTTTGATATCTTCAATAACGAAGAAAAACTCCTACCTGAAAATAAAAATGAAAATAAAAATATAATTATTGAAATGGAAAATATAAATAATAATAATAAAAACTTACCTGTTTTACCGTCTACCAGCTCCACACCAATATTAGAGATACCTAATGAACATACACAATCAAATATAGAGATCTCAACAAGTGATGAAGAGCGAAATGAAACAGATGACAATCAGACTTCACAAGTTAATCAAGATAATATGCATACATCGCGTAGGCAGAGAAGACTACCATCGCGATATAATGATTACGTTCTGAATAATGTACAAGAACTCAATGAAAATATATATGAAATGACATACCTATGTGAAGAAGAAAAAAATGAGGATTGGCGTGACGCCATAAAAGCTGAAATCAGAGCTCATGTAAAAAATGGTACATGGGAGATAATGAAAAAAGCAAAAGACGCAAAAGTCATTGATCATAAAATGATATTAAAAAAGAAAATGTGTCCTAATGATACAGAAATAAAAAAGGCAAGACTTGTAGCGAGAGGTTTTACCCAAAGACCAGGGATTGACTATAATGAAACATTTGCTCCAGTTGCCAAATTAAGCTCAATTAGATCAGTACTAAGTTTATCTGTACAAGAAGGATTACAACTTAATCAAATGGACGTCACTACTGCTTATTTAAATGGCGAATTAGATGAAAATATAAGTATGAAAATTCCTGACTGTCTTGAAGAATATTTAATGGAAATTATGATAGACGAAATAGATAAAAATGACATGATAATATACAATAAAGCTAAGAAAATGCTTGAAGATTTAAAATCTGATAATAATGAAAAGATTTGTTTACTTAAAAAAGCTCTATATGGGTTAAAACAATCTGGAAGACAATGGTTCATAAAACTAGATAATGAACTGAAAGCATTACATTTTGAACCATCGAAAGCAGATCCATGCGTTTACATACTAGCGAAAGGAGGAGTGAAAATCATAGTTGCTATATATGTAGACGACATACTCATTGCTTACTCATGTTCAAAAACGCTAAACACAATCAAAAATGTTTTAGCCACAAAATTTGAATTGAAAGACTTAGGTAAACCAAATAGATTAATTGGTATAGATATCAGTTACCAAGGAGATTCAATAAAATTATGTCAAGAAAAATACATAGATATTATTTTAAATAAATTCAAAATGGAACAATGTAAAGCTGCTGTCACACCTATCGAACCCGGTTTGACATTAAAACCTAATAAAGAGAAAAAACGAGAATTACCGTATCAAAACTTGATTGGTACACTGATGTATTGCGCCGTAGCTACTAGACCTGATATTATGTACTCCGTAAGTTATCTATCTCAATTCAATGATAGCTATGATGAAGAACATTTTAAATGCGCAAAAAGAATTCTCAGATATTTGAAAGGTACAAAAACTATTGGTTTAAGATTTGAAAAGAAATGCTCAAATAATTTATATGGACTGGCAGATGCTGACTGGGGTGCAGATAAAATGGACAGAAAATCATTTTCTGGATATTGCTTTAAATATGCTGGCTCATGTATTAGTTGGTCATCAAGAAAACAAAAGTGTGTAGCACTTTCAACAGCCGAAGCTGAATATGTCTCATTGTCTGAAGCTGCTAAAGAGGCAATTTACTTAAAAAGACTATTTGAAGACTTGGGCATCTCGCAACAAACTGTTGTAATATTTAATGACAACCAAGCTGCGCTAAAGTTGAGTGAGAATCCGATAATCACATCGAAGTCGAAACATATCGATTTAAAACTACACTTTATTCGTGATAGTGTTAAAGAGGGAGTGATCCAAGTAAAATATATGGACACAAAAACGATGGAAGCTGACTTACTCACTAAAGGACTACCAGGACCAAGACTATCACAACTGAGAAGTTGTCTGGGCATCACAATCTAGTAATAGTGTTGTGAGGAGGAGTTTGTTGGTGACACTGGCACATCACTACTCACTCGATCGCCGCTTTAAGATGAAAAATATATATTGTCAAAAAAACTATATAGTACATTCGTAATATTATATTAACAAAATAAACTATTTATACTAAACAAGTCGTTTTTCCATCGACCAAGTACATCATATATCCTTCTCTACAACGTCGCTAGGCAACGGTGTTGCCGCGCACTATCCGTAAATCGCCACACCACCCCCCCGCGGAGAGAAAAAGGTAAAAGACAAACGAAAAAAAAAAAAAAAATAATAATAATAAATATAGTATATAATAAAGATAAAGAAACTACAGATCTAAAATGTCCCTAAAACGAACTCTCCGTCCTGACCTGGTAACTATAGGTTTTGCAGTTGAAACAGGTTGATTAGAAGGAATTAGTGGTGACGAGGAAAGCGAAGGTATTTGGGAGGAAGATAATGGTGGCGAATGAGGAAAAGTTGTGATTGGCGGACAAGATGAAGTTGAAGGAATGG